TCAACATGGATCTCAGTACAGGGGAACAGAAATTGGAAATTTGCTGGCAAAAGTTTAGAGACACATATAGTTTCACAAAAAATGTTCAGCAATTAATGAAGACTTAAAACCCCACACCAAACTGGCTTTTGTTATTTCATGTAACTGAAAAATCTAAGATCTTTCTCAGTTCTGGCACATCTTGATCCAGGGGGTTCAAATAATATTAATAAGGCCAGACTTCTCTCCATCTTTCAGGTATGCTCTGAAAAATGGCTTCAGAATTGAACTTCAACTTCTGAGGCTCCTGCAACTCTAAGTCTGGCTGAAGTACTACTGTGTCTCAGTCCAAGAACGAAGTCCCCATATTGAGAGCCTTGGACCTATGTCCTTCCCAAACAAATCACTATGGCCAGGAGAACAGAATGTTCTGATTGGCTAGGCCTGGATCATGTGGACCTTCTTGGAACTGGAGGAGGGAGTCAACCCCATCTGAACTGTGAACTGAAAATGAGAGGGTGTGGGGTGATTTCACAAAGAAAATCCAGTGTGTTATTATGAGAAGAAAAATGCATAGGTGTATTGGGCAGATGACACTTCCATCCCCTTCCAAGGGCAGAGGGAGCTAACAGCCCCCTTTTAGACCCTATCATCCTCTTGCCATTAGTTCCCTGGTGGCCTCTACCCTGATTCTGGAGTTATCTCCAACTCCCTTCACCATTCATTGTAGCTAACCCATGTTCTGTATCATCATTCAGTTGCCTTTCTGGGACAATTCCAATTCAAATCTTCTGTCCTAGAGCCCCCACAAACACAATTTATATTTAGTAGATTACATGTTGGATTTCTCTCTGTTTTGGAAAATATGTTGCTGATATGTAGCATCTCAGGAAAGAAGCACAAGAGAAAGTGACATGGAGGCATCCCTCCACACTCTTCACCACCAGAACTCAGGAATGTTTGAAAGGGGCTGGGATGCTACCCATGGGGTTTACTTAACAACTAGTAAGCTTGCTCTTCACTCTACCTGAAGCAAAGAAAAACCTAAACCTCTAGTAACCAGAAGCTTTGGCAGCAGCCCAATTAATAAATTATGTGGGAGACAACTTAAGAAACAATGGTGAGCCCTGGCCAGTATGGCTCAGTTGGTTGGAGCATCCTCCTGATAGACTGAGAGGTCACAGGTGCTATACCTGGTCAGGGCACATACTAGAAGGCAACTGATCAATGTTTCTCTCTCTCTCTCTCTCTCTCTCTCTCTCTCTCTCTCTCTCTCTCTCTCTCTCTTCCTCTCTCTAAAACAATAAAAAAAAGTGGTGCTGGCTGGCATGGCTCAATGGGTTAAGCATCGCAAAGCCAAATGCTGCTAGTTTGATTCCTGGTCAAGGCACACGCCTGGGTTGCAGGCCTGGTCCCCAGTTGGGGCGCGTGTGAGAGGCAACCAATTGATGTTTCTCTCACATGTCAATATTTCTCTCTCTCTCTTTCTCCCTACCTTCTCTTCTCTCTAAAATAAATAAATAAAATCTTTAAAAGCAATGAAAAACTGTCCTCAGGTGAGTGGGGAAAGAAAGAAGAAAAGAAACAATGGTGAGTACAAAGAGTGCAGGAGTCAGCTCTGCCTTCTCTCTACACACAGGCAGTTAAGACAAAACCATGACCACCCCAGGAAAGCACAGACTATCTAAGTAGAAGCCTCTGGGTGCTTAGGCAGGTACCACAGGAGGGTGACAGCAGCAGAAGGTGGTGGCAGACCTCAGGGCATTCACTAAGTACCAGCAAGCAAAGCTCTCAGTGGGAACTTCCAAGCTGAGACAAAGGGGAGGGAATCCCCAGGGAATTGTGTGGCAATGACCAACAGCTCTGAGTGGACAGAGGGGAGCCTAGAACCTCTTCAGGTAAAAACACCACTCTACATTTCTATTTTCTCCACAAGCCATATCACAACTGAAGAGGGCTTTGAGGGGACTGTATGTGGAGAGAAATGCCAAGTAACTAACTGAAGTTTGGCCCCCATCTTTTCAGCAGCAATTCCAAGTCTGACTGGGAGAAAGGAATTGTAGGAAGAATTCCATTACAGCTGAGTGAGGAGTCAGGAGTAATTTAACACTGTATAACATTTGACTACACCATGAAGTTACTAAAAAAGAAAAAAAAAGCCTAAGAACATTAACTAGAGCTAAGTTCTGTTTAAATTTACTTTGGAAATGTACCTTCCTCGTTTTTCTTCTATATGTTTAGATTAGGTATATACAATTCCTTTTTCTTTTATACATTCATATTAGGTACAACAGGTCTTGCTTGAAGCTGGAAGCATCCTGTTGGACTGTAGTTCTGAAAAGGCATTTCTACATGGTTAATGAAAGTAACGTGGTTCAAGCATTAATTGAATACAGATTTGTGGAACACCTGCGTCATGCCAGCTGCTGGTGCTGAGGACAGGGCAGAGACCAAGGCAGACGTGAGCCCAGCCCTGTCCTGCTGCTTTCTAGTGACCTACTTAGAGATAGGGTTCATTCAGGCCTGCCTCAGATTTCTTCTTTTTCTTTCAAGATGTCAGATTTTTCAGATTGAAATAACATACTTGCAGTAGACACTTGTCAAATTTGTGAGTGCCCAGCACCTTTTAGGCACTCTTATATTTGGGGATTTTCTCCAAGATACAATTCCTGCCTTCCTGAGGCAGAAACCCAAACTCAATTATATAGACTTTCTTGAAACTGGAGCATATGTGGTGGCCTAGGTGTTGCCAGTTGGGGCCCATATGACTCTGATTCAGCAGACAGCAGAACAAGGAGACAAGCTTCACAAAGATTCCATTTTCAAGAGGGGGAAGAATCTGGCTGTCTGGGGAGCACTGACGACGTTTTTGGCACCCAGTGTCCAGTAGTGTGAAGTGTGGTGGTGTCTCGCTGCAGCCAGCACATGGAACGGTTGTGTCTGACTGTGCATATTGTAGGCCTCTCTGGCCATACCAGAGATACTGTGAGCTACCTGAGATTCTCAATTGCTTCTCTTTTAAAGACTAGTTAGAGTGAATTCTATTCTTTGCAAAGAATGACTAATTAGTCATTAGTATATGACTAATACATATATTGAGCTACTGTTATGTGCTAGACTCTAAGCTGGTATATTCTATGTTACTTTATTTATTTATATATTTGTTTACTTTAAGATTTTATTTTTAGAGAGAGGGGAAAGGAAGGAGAAAGACAGGGAAACATCGATCAAATTGGTTGCCTCTCATAGACCCCCAGCCAGGGACCTGGCCTGCAACCCAGGCATGTGCTCTGACCTGGAATGGAGCACGTAACCCTTTGGTCTGCAGGACTACAACACTCAACCCACCAAGCCACACCGGTCAGGGCTATCCTATGTTTATGCAGACTTCATAAACTTAAAGCACACATTATTATACATTTTACGGATTTAAAAAACTGAGATTTAAAAGGACACAATTCATTCTACACATATTTATTAAAGGCCTAATCTGTGCCAGCCACTGGGACTACAGTATTGAACAAAATAGTTCCCTGCGACTATAAAAAGAATGGCATATTGTATTTTAAATGTCCCCTTACCAAAATAAAAGGCACAGTACAGCAGCTGTCTGGAGAGAAGGACCTCAGCCAATCAGGCTTCATTTTAAATATAGAAAACTCCTAAAAATAGCCGCCCTGTCTCAACAGGTGATTGGTCCCCAAAAGAAGGGACGAGAACTTAGGCCTCAGTGAAGGAGAGTGAAAGGACAGTGCTGTTGTTCCTAGCTTCTGTCACCGAGATGGCTCTGCCTCTGAAGATCTTGAGTCGGGGCTTGGCGAGTACAGCCAAGGGAGACCATGGAGGGGCAGGAGGTGAGTGGGGACAGACTTCTCGACCTTGCGACACCTCCACCGGCTAATTCCCCACCCCCAGTCCTCCTGAGGCCCTCCCCGCGTCTCTCTCACCCCTGCCTGTGCCCCTTGCAGCCGGCACCTGGCGCTTCCTGACCTTCGTGCTGGCCCTCCCGAGTGTGGCGCTGTGCACTGTCAACTGCTGGCTCCACGCGGGCCACCACGAGCGCCCCGAATTCATCCCCTACCACCATCTCCGTATCCGCACCAAGGTATGCGGGCGAAACTTTGGCACTGGGTGGGAGCAGGCGGGGTTCAGGGGCCCGGGGCTGACCACTCCCTCTCCGTTCTTTTCTCCGCAGCCCTACTCCTGGGGAGACGGAAACCACACTCTTTTCCACAATCCCCATGTCAACCCTCTGCCCACGGGCTATGAACGGCCCTGAGGCCTGGGCGGAGGCCCCAGGCTCAATAAAGATGTGGAAGATGTGTGTCCGAGGGCTCGGTGAGGACCTTGGGGGCGGGAGCTGAACCGGTGTCCTTGTGCCCCAGGTGACGCTAATGCCTTCGTGCCGCGCTTCCCAGGGCCTGGTTTGCTAGGGGCTGGGGGAACATGGTTCCTTCTTGATCGCCTACTAGCAAGTAGGGCTCTGGGCTCTAAACAGCTTTCACAATGAATGTGTAAACTCCGACTAACTGGAAACCATCCTGATTTCAAACATAGGGTCTGCAACCCTATATTGTGAGGCTTCACGACATAATTACAATGTGGGATATTTCGGTCGCGTCGTTCTTCATGACCACCTTTAACAGATCTCCTGTGTTCGTTTGGGAAATCAGATGCTCCTTTCTGGAAGCCTGGCTCTCCTAGATTCTGGGGACCCAACTGAAGGGGGACATTGGTTCAACTGGCTCTGGACATTTCATTCACCTTCTAAGACAGTCCGCTCACTGATTGCCAAGGAGGGTGAAGCCTGGGCTGAAACCCATTACCGACACACATAAAAAACTTCAATTGGCCTCCTTCCCTGACACTACTCACAGCACCACTAAGAGAAGATGATCACAGGCCTCGGTCACCTGAGAAAGAGCGAGAATGTTCTTGATACCCACAAATAGGTTTACCCAGCCCTTCCTACAATGGCACTCAGACCCTGGATTAGAGCTATTCCATACAAGGAAAATATACCATAAACATCCTTGTTTAATGTGACAATTCTCATACATAAGAAAATTTATGCTGGCATCATGCCTGCTCCGGTAAAAAGTGGGTTGTCACTGAAGAAGTTTGGCAGATATGTAAAAACACAAAAGTCTTTGAAGGCCCTGGGAAGGTAATGTAGCACCTTGTAAGTTGCTCGGGCTAGTCCAGATCTGTGCAGATGTTATTCCCACAGAAGTAGATACATAGCCTAAGGCAAGACCAGCCCACAGGGTTAGAGATAAACAGGGAAGTAGATTATTAGGACAAAGGCAAATTTGGGGTGTCCCCACTGAATGTGGCACTGTCTTCAGGCTTGTCATCCAGCATTTCTTTGTACTGACGTTTGAAGAATCCAAGCTATGAAGGGAAGTTAATCAGAAAATCTAGGTAAGAGGGCAGGGAAGAAAGTTGGGATAAGGAAGAAGCTGAGAGAGAAGAGGGGAACTTAGCCGACTTGTATTTGTGTGCCAGAACACTGATGTGAACAATAGCTGTCACGTTTAGAGTGTCCACTGTGTTCCAAGAATAGTGCTTATACACAGAATCCAGAGAACAGCATAGATTCTGAAGTCAGGCAGGAATGCATACAGACTGTGGTCTCGTTTCTGTCTTGCTTCAGGCACTCTGTGAGTTATGCATTATTATGATTTCAAAAATGGGGAAAAAACCCAGAGAGGTTGAGCAAATTGCTTAACATTAAACAGTAAGACAGAGCCAAAATGTGCACGCAGGCCTGCCTGACTCCATTGTCTGGGTTTTTCCTGCTATACGTACAATCCTGACTGTGGGAAGGCTTGGGCTGCATGCTGTCAAGTGTGGGATGAAAACACTCACCTTGTAGAGTGTTGCTGTGATGAGAGCCAGTAGCAGCAGTCCTCCCACAGAGCTGCCCACAATGAGGGGGATGGGATCATAAACCTCATACTCCTCTAGCACCATCTCCATCTGATTTAGGATCAGAAAGTATCAGATTTCTGCCATCCCAAACTCTACTCAGGTTCTCCAACTTCTAATTTTCTCCCCTGCTTCCCCAGGCCAAACACCAAGAGGCGAGATACAGAAGCACTCGAGTTTAAGTGCAAGTGTCCCACCTAGGGACATTCACCCTTCCTCTCTCTGGGCTTCTGAGCCCCCAAACCAGCAACACAGATTTAACATCAGAAGCCCTCTCACCAACCAGGCTACTGTCTACCACAGTCACTACCTGGGCTCTCAGAAACGCCTCCTGTCCTGGAAGCTGGGAATACACAGATCTGCTGAACGTGATTTCAGCCACACTCACGACCGATACCTTCTTCTGCAATGTCTGCAAAAGAGAGCAGGAGAGCTGGGGAACTAGCTCTGGGGGAAGCTCAGAGTCAGAGAAATGTCCTAGCTTGATGGGGGATGGGCACAGACATCACAGGTACCACCTGAGTCCGGGGCTGGGACTGTGCTTTGGGCCTACACACCTGGCTGACCCAGCTGAAGCTGAGGTTGCCCTTCAGGATGAAGTCAAGCTCCTCCTGGATGCCAAAGGAGGGGATGTCACAGTGGAACCTCAGACACTCAGCAATGGAGCAGTCCTAGGGACCAGGAAATAGCATCAGGCCAGAGAGATGGGTTTGAAGGCAGAGGGTAGCATTAAACTGTCTGATTTAGGGGAGCAGCCACATCTGAATGCAGGACAGCTGTTCAGCAGACATCCATCTGAATGTCGCATGGACTGCTGAGTTAGATTCCTCTGATGTGTGGTTTAAAGTGGGGGACAGCCTTCTCACCAGCACATGATTCTTCTGAATGTGGGTGAGGAAGTTGGACTCCGTGGGCACCATTCTCTCTGCAGAACACTGAATAGATGGGTTCTAGGAAGACACAGAGAGAAGCATCTCAGTAGGGACATCAGAGATTCATGAGGGTCACAAGAAATCCAGGTGAAGGGCTTTAGAGAAGGAGCCATGAACAGTCCTTGAGTACCTGGGGGGTGGAGGATCTTCAGCCCTGTCCACACAGTCACCTGGTTCAGCTCCACAGGCACCAAGAAGCTGATGCTGACAGGCAGGTCCCTCTGTCCCAGGTTGTTCACCTGCACAGAGGGCAGTGAGGGCGAAGACCATGCCAAATGCCACATCCCTCCCCCGTCTCGGGCTTCTGGGCCAGGGCCCCAGCCCATGCTCTTGAGTTGTCATCTCTCTTGAGACACCATGCTCTTACTCGCCTGGTATCTGTGCTGGGCCAGGCTGCTTCCCTGCTCCTCAGAGGCAGAGAAGTTGAGGTACTTGGTGGATTCCTCATGGCTGGGGAGAGAAGACACATGAGTGGGTTTGAAGCCTATAGGGGCCTCCTGAGGGAGTCTCTGACTGACAGCATGACAAGACAGGTGTTCACTGGGGCCTTGGGGTGCCTTGGAATGAGGTCTGTGTCTGACTTGGGGTACTGGGAAGATTAAGGGAGCAGGGCTGAGCTTCAAGCTGGGTATGAGGTGCTTGAAGAAGCTGCCCTCAGAGGAAACTGCCAGGTTTGGTTGGGCAGGGGGTACATGAAAGGGACTGAGACTTATGCCACTGACTCACTGGGGGAATGGCAGCCAGGGCCTGCCCTCCCTCTCTGTGCCTGCTTTCCTTCCAGGCCTTCATGGGCATGGAGGGTGTGGCTGGGTGTGTGGGACACAGCACAGGTTTGGGGAGACTCAGGCTGACACTATTGACAAGTGTCTGCTGGTCACTGCACCTGTCTGGTCTCCCAGGGGCCTTCCTTGGGGCCCTTCTCTGCTGTTTCCTTGGCTTTTCTGTACTTGGGGCTTAGAGGTGAGGGAGGGAGAGCCCACAGCGGGCTCTTTACTGTGTCTCAGTGTAACAACATCTCCTCAGGCTGGCTGAGGCCCGTGCCTGGAGACCCAGTGGCCAACATGGCCCCTTACTTGGGTGGCTGATTCCACCTCTGCCCCTCCCTGTTCCCTGGGCCCCTGTCCTTTGCCTGGCAGTCCAAAGTCTAGGCTACCACTCCTACTCTGAAGTCGCATCTGGCTCTGCCAAGGGCTCCCCCAAGATGCCCAGTCTCATCCTGGGCGCCCTCTGAATGCCCCTTCCTATAGAGTCACGCCTGCAAAGGACAGCTGAGCTGTAGGGGCCACACATGTCTAGACATGGTGTGCTCTCCCTGGGAGTGCCCTGCCAGCTGTGCTAACCCCAGTGCAAGCTCCAGGAAACAGACTAAGAGCTCCAGGAAACAGACTCTCTCGACTGGACTGCCAAGAGACCCCAATGTGTAGGTGACAACGACAGTGTGAAGCTCTGGGCAGGAGGATATCCAAAGAGGCACAGGTGTGCAAGTAGCGGGGGAATATACCCGGGCTGTCATGTGGGCCTATTACATATCGGGAGTGCGTACATCCCACAAAGGCAGAGGTTTGTGTCTGGTTTAGATTACACATAATAGATGAAGGCCCAATAAGTCTTTGTTAACGTCAAATACATTCATGGAAAGCAACCACAGCACTGTGCCTGAAACATACAAATACGAGGAAGGCATCTGTACACACTCTTGACTCCCAGTTTCAAACACCTCAGCTACCTCTCATCCACCTTTCCTGGCAGCATTTTAAGCTCTTCCTGACACCCCACCTCTGAAGCAGGCATGTTATTTCTTCCTATCCTCACAAAGGGGACTGGGAAGGGGAGGAGGAGTAGCTCTAAAAGCCCTGCAAGTTGTAAATCTGTTCTTTGCGATGAAGAACTGTCCCACCCAAATGCCAAAGGCCAAGTCCAGAGCCACAGAACCCTTCAATGTTTAGCTGAGGCCTCTCCTGACAGGAGGCCTTAACCACCTCAGGCTGCAGAACAACCTTGCTCCCCACTAAGGCTGTAAAAACCTTGAAGCCAGAGACATCTCTCATATCTCTTCTGGAATCCAGCACAATCTTGGGGCTTTGGAGAAAGGATTCTGAGAAGAACTGTAACCTCTATTAACTGTAGAGTGTCATGATAATATCACTCTTATTATTGTCACAGCTAGCGCACAATAACTCTCAATGATTGATTAGTAAGTGCTACTACACTTATCACCTAACGATTGAAAGGGTAGTGATAAAACCTAAATGTCCCAGACGTTCAGGGGCTGCAGGGATGGAGAATCTCCCTGTACCCATCAGAATGATGGAGAAGACCCTTTTCAGGTCTTGGTGTGGCACCTGCTGATCACAGTGTAGACAGCATACTTCACCGGGAGCTCCTGCTGGAAGGTGGTCTTGCTGGTCCTGGGGGTGTTATTCTCACTGGAGAAAGAGGAGGAACCATTGCCAAGTGCTCCTGAAGAGGAGGCTGGGCTCCAGGGGCTGTGGCCCGAGCCTGGGCCTGCTCACCTGGCCCTGCTCACCTGCTCACATTGGCCATTAGAAGCAGGCGGTCTCCCAGCATGGCCTTGGGGGAGACGTCAAAGGTGGCTATGAAGGTGATCTGGGGAAGAGGCAGGCAGGGGCGTTGGAAGTGTGGAGGTCACCAAGCAGTGACACTGGGAGGGGGCAGGGAAGTGGGACATAAAGCTGACCTGAGTCCCCTCACGGAAGATAAGGTGTTTGATGCTGCAGTGGGTGCTCCAGCTGTCCTGGCCTCTGGCTGGGGCGCTGTCACAGGTCAGGTGCAGGGAGCGTGACTGCAGCTGGCTCTAAGCAAAGGCAGGTGAAATTAGGCAGGTGAGCATTTGTCAGTGTTCCAAAGAGACTCCATAAAGTAGTGACAGTTTCCTGGAATCTGCCCTGAGGTCATATTTTCAAAAAATCCTTAGAACTTAGACACTATCTGGTCAAACTTCTTCCTAATGTAGAATTTCAGATTTATTAAAGTTTCCCCCTTTTTAGTTATTGTTATGTTTTAAAGGCTTTCTATTGTGGAAATGTTCAAACATACTAAGAAGTAGAGAGGCTAGATAAATCAACCCCCATGTACCTATCACTCAGCTTAAATTACCAACATTTTCTACTTGTGTTTTAATTCATCCTTTATGGGGAGAGAAACATCGACATGAGACAGAAATGTCAGGTGGATGCCTCTCATACCCACCCTGACTGGAGACCGAACCCACAACCCAGGCATGTTCACTGGCCAGGAATCAAACCAGTGACCCCTTGCTTTGCAGGACGACACCCAACCCACTGAGCCATACTGGTCACAGCTTTACTTTTGTTTTATTCAGCTGCTCTCCGTTTTTTTTTTTTTCTGGACAACTTAAAGCACATTTTGAATATTGCACCATTTCATTCAGAAATACTTCCACGTATACCACCAACAGATAAGGGCATTTTTGACATAACCACAAGACTCAACAGATCACACGCAGCAAAATTAGCAATAACTCCTTAACGTCAGTAATATCCAGGTCATGCTCAGTCTCCCGTACTTTGTCTCCAAAACTGTTACTTTACAGCTCATTTGTGAAGTAAATATCCAACAAAGCTGCACATATGCATTTGTCAAGGCTGATATGTCTAGAAGTACTTTCAGTGATAGGGCACTCACCCCCATGCAGCTAGGCCTTGCCACTTCTAGTGCATTCCTTCAAAGGTTAATCAGATTACGATCCCTTTGGAGTACTAGCCAAAGAGAGACGTAAGAGGCCAACCAACCCAATGCAATGAGTAGGCCTAGTTTATATGCTGGTTCAAATAAATCAGGTGTAAAAGATACTTTTGAGTCCATTACAGAAACTTTATTCTGGTCTAAATACCAAGGACTCATTCATTTCATTGGGTGTGATATTGGCACTGGGCCATGTAGGATGTGGGGACTATCCAGAACCATGGGGTGAAATAGGGAGGACTGACGTGATGTCTGGGGTTTGTGTCAAAATACTTCAGCAAAGAGGGGGAAAAGCCAGATGAAATATACATAGCAAAACGTTGATAACTGATGAATCTGGGAGATAGGTTTTGGAGAGGTGTGTTGATGTACTCTCTACTTTTGAAGATGTTTAACATTTTTCATAAAATTTTTGTTAAAAATCTGTTTCAGTTTGACTGCCATGGTCCTAGTCCTGTCTTCTAGAACAGGGATCGCTAAATGATAGCCACCACCAGTTTTTACAGGTACACTTTCATTGGAATGCAGACATGCTCATTCATTTACAAATTGTCAGTGGCAGCTTTCCCTCTGCAGCAGCAGAGCTGAGTAGATGTGAAAGACAGTGTGTGGCCCACAAAGCCGAAAGATTTATATTCTAGCCCATAATAGAAAAGGTATGCCAAGACATGATCTAGACTCATGGGGGTGTCCAAGCTGTAACCCGCAGGCCCCACGCAGGCCAGAATGGAGCTGAATGTGGCCCACCACAAAATCATTAATTTACTTAAAACATTATGAGGTTTTTTGTAACTATGTGTTGCAATGTATTTAATGTGTGGCCCAAGACAACTCTTCTTCCAGTGTGGCACAGAGATGCGAAAAGGTTGAGCGCCCCTGCTAGAGTAACTGATAAATTTAACGGGACAGTGTTTTAAAATAATTGAAGGCCAAGAGACGTTCTCCCTTAAAAGAAGAATATTGATATGATGTGGAATACAAAGAAATTGAAGGCAGAGTCCCCTCCCTGTCCACATCAGCAGCTTCCTGGGAACTCATTCCTCATGGTCCTGATTCCTTAAAAATGTGATGCCCAGAATTGAACACAACGTGAGCTGAAGCAAGCCCTGGATTGCACAACCCTGTGTGTCCAACCAGATCAGCCCAGACCTCCTGCTTTATGAGAGACTGCTAAGCAATGGCAGCCCCAGCCAGAGCTTTAACCCAGCACAGGAGTCTCTGCTGATCTCCAGTCATAAGCTACTGCCTTCCCCAGAGGCAACAATACCTGGCTCCCTGCCACACGTCGAAAAGACAGCCCCGGTGGGTAGGGAGAAGGTGACTGTGGTTCCATAGGAGTCCTCCCCTTCATTCCACACTTTCACTTCCATGTTCAGCTCTAGGTTACTCCCCACCACCAGGGTCTTCAAGCTAGGTGTTGGGGTAGAGGGCAGGAGAGGACTCTGTGACTAGGGCTAGAAATGGTCTGGGGGATAAAACACAGAGTGGGGAGGTGGGGAAACATGGGGGGTAGGGTGTCTGGTTTCTGAGCACAGGATAGAAGTGTTAGGGATAGCCAAGCAGGAGCTTTAGATTCCAGGAGGTGGGGCTGGGAGACCAGGGCAGGCCTACCGAGGTGGAAGCTCACCCTGAGAAACCAAAGGAGATGCCCAGGTCATCTTGGCAGATGTGGTCAGCTCCACAGTTCTTCTCAAAGGGGAGCTGAGAAGGAAGGCAAAGTGGAGTTTTCTCCAAGGTCTGGAGTCCACACCTCCACTCCCTCCTGCAGAGCCCGACCCCAGGACTCACAGAGGCCGTGTAGTATCTGGGGACATCCGTAGCCAGCATAGGTTGGAGGTCTCCAAAGGAAGAGATGGGGTTGCCCACCAGGGAGAAATTGAGACCCAAGCTGATGGGGGTCACTGAGTCTTCCACACAAGCCTAGAAGACAGACAGTGAAGAGAGCAGGTGGCTAAGGAAGACAGCCTCACAATCACTAGCTGTGTCCTGTCTCCTCACCTGTAAAATGGGGTCACAATGACACCTACCTGCATTCGTTAAACACTCATCGCTGATCCTGCCATGAGAGCCTCTGCTGTGGTTGTGCTCTGGCTCGGCTCCCCTTTCCCCAGCCTCCCACAGGCTCACTCTGTTCAGGGTCTGCTCAAACTTCACCTGCTCCCAGAGGCCTCTGGACACTCCTCTCTTCTCTCCTTGGCTTTGTCTTTCTTCCCAGCATTCATCACTACCTCATACCTCTTATCTAGAAAATTGATTGCTTTTGCCATTTCTCCAGCTCTCCCCCAGCCGGCATGCACTGTTTTGTCATCTGCTGTGTCCCTGGCACCTAGGACAGGGTCTGTCTCAAAGGAACAACTCCATACAAGAATCCCAGCCCATTGCCAGGTAGTTCTCTGAAGCAGCCATACTGTTTCTTGAAACACAGCTGTATGATTTCCAGCAGTTGCAGCCAACCCATCCATCCCTTCATTCACCCACCTGCTAATCCACTCACTCATTTGACTAACAAATGTTAAGCCCCTCCTGCACACAAGGTGCGTTGTTCGTGCTGAGCCAGCATGAGAACCAGAACATGCCTGTCCTTTCCCTGCCCAGCCCACTGCCAGCCTCAGAATCACCTCCATCCCCAGGACTCCCAGACCCCCTCACCGGAAGGAGCAACTTCACATCCTCACAATGCCGTCCAAGCCCAAGAACTCTGACATGAGTGAGACTTCGATTTCTTGTCTCCTTGAAAATGGCACGGGGATTCACATGACCAGGATCCAGGGTCAAGTGAAGGGTCACAGTGCTTTGGAGGTCACCTATAGGGGAAAGTAGGGAATGGGGGGTGCTGAAAGAACCAGGAACTCCCCACGTGGGCAGAAGGGCATGGCATGATACAGGAGTTCTGAGCTGGAGGACACCAGGGATCAGGTAGTCCTGAGCCAGAGAGGACTCACCCAGCTGGTTCTTGGGACGTTCATAAATGTGAAGGCAGACATTGGCATCCCCCAGTTCCTGGACAGAGGATGGGTGCTCCTGACACTCATACACAGACCTAGCAATCTCTGCAGGTGTTATGTAGATGTTGACCCACACCCTCAGCACAGGTCTGGTCCTGTGGGCAGAATGAAGAGCTGAGGACAAGCCCTTGGTCTCAGGGGGGCAACCTGGGGTGGGAGTGTGGAGACCGGTGCCCTAGGTAGAGCTCAGGACCATCTGGAGAGTGTCTGGGCAAGGGGGTTCTCACCTGAGCAGCAGTGCATGCCCCTGGGCCCCCACGGCCAGGTCCACAAGTCCATCTAGGGTGAGATCTTGACCGCCACTCAGTGACTGTCCAAAATGCTGGAGTCTGGGGGAGAACTGGGATCCCGTGATCCTCTGGACAGACAGGGAAAGGCAAGCCAGTTTGGGGGGGCAAGAGGAACAAGTTGGAAGTCGGCAACAAGAGGAATGGGGAAGTAGGAACATGGGAGACTGAAGGGGTGAGTAGTGAAAAGAGATCACCAAGAAAAGTGCCTGAAAATGAGGAGGTGGGGTGGGGTAATGAGGACTGGAGAAAAAGAGATTCCTAAGACATAATAGAAGCAGTGGCGATGGAAAGACTGACCTGGTGACCTGAATTGCATTTTTTCACTCATCTAGTGTCAGGTTCCAATTCTGGCTCTTCCACTTACGAGCCATGAGTGAGGCCATGGGCCCGGATTCAATCTTTCTGGGACTCATTCTCCTCACCTTTCACATGAGGATAATAATACCTCAAACTTCAGCTGTTCGTAGCAAATGAATGAATTCCTATAGTTTCCCTGTCTTAGAACAGCACCTGCAAGGTGGTCACAGTTCAGTACTGATGATGATGAGTATCAGGGCTGAAAGAGACCTCAGAGCCCATCCAGTCCCACTTTCCTCTTCTCAGACAATGCCAAGGCCACACAGCCTTTAAAGGGCCAACTCCAGCCCTGAAATCTGATCCTCCAACCCCATGCCCAAGGCCTCTGTTTGGTCCCTGTGTCTTTAGAAGACAAGGAGGGATCAATAGGGATGGGGATGTCCACTCCCACACACAGACTCTGTGCTCCAGGCCCCTGCCTCCCCTGGGGTCCCTTTTATTTCCATCACTCCTGTAATGAGGAGTGCTCCCTTGGAGGATGTGCCCTATAAATCTTTGGGCATTGTTGGGACTGGCAGGCATTAAGAGCAGTAGTAATAAAATAAAACAGGAAGTTATCAATTCCCAAGGGAGTATAGAGAGGAAAAGGGGTTTAGAAACAGCATAGACACAGTCAAATGGCTTTGCCCTCAGGAAAACTAATTTCACCCCCATATCCTCACGCTGGTGCGTGGGAGCCTGGGGAACAAGGCAAGACTTTCCCAGTCAAGTGTGTGGTGTCACACGGCTCGTAGTGCAGAAGGAAGACCATGATTAGCCATGGATGTGGAAAGGCCTCCTCTTGAGATCAGGACTCGTGGGTATAACCCAGGAACTATTAGCAATCAAGGGTCTATGGAGATGTGCCTCTTAGCCAGTGCAGCAAGGGGAAGTTAAAGAAGTTGCTGTGCACTGAATGGAGTTTCATGGCAACTGGCAGATTCTCATGATTCTCAACAAAGCCTTTCGCCCTCTTCCTATAGTTCCAAGTTCTTGAAAACCCCATTCAGGTGTTAAACAGTATCAACAGTAATTGATTATGATGTAACAGCTCTTATGGCCAGGCACATATGTACGTGTGTGCTATGTATGCACTATATGTACGTATATGTCCTAACTCGTTTAATCCTCCCAGAAGCAGCCTGATAAGGTTTATTTCCACCACCATTGCACCAGTGTGGAAACTCAGCACAGACAGCTGAGTAATGACCAAGATCACATAGCTGGCAAGTGAAGAACTCAGGGATCTCCTGTGCCTTTTTTTCTAACAACTTTTTGAGATATAATTCACATACTGTATGATTCACCCATTTAAAGTATACACCTCACTGTTGTTCAGGATTTCACAGGGTCGTACAACCATCGACAAAGCAATTTTAGAACATTTCCAGCACCCCAAAAAAGGAACCTTCTTCCCTTTAGCGGTCACGCCTTTGCCCCTCATTCCCCTCCACCCCCACCCTCTGACAACCACTGATCTACTTCCTGTCTCTATGGATTGGCCTACCCTGCAGATCTAGTATAAGTGGAGTCTTACAATAAGTGTTCTTTCACGCCTGGCTTCTTTCACTCAGCATAATGTTTTCAAGTTTTATCTGTATTGTAGCGTGTGTCAGTTCCTCATCTCTTTTCATGTTGGAGAACATTCCATTGTGTGGCTGTACCACGTTTTATCTGTCTGTTCATTAGTAGATAGACATTTGAATTGCTCCCACCTTTCAGTGTTTATGAATAGCGCTATTAGAACATTTGGTGTGTAACCTTTTGTTTTGTAACCTTTTGTGAGCATATGTTTTCAGTTCCCTGGGGTGGAATTGCTGGGTCACACAGTAACTCCAACATTTAACCTTTAGGGGACTGTTTTCCAAAGCAGCTGCGCCACTTCACCTTCCCACTAGTGGTACATGAGGGCTCCAGATGCTCCACATCTTCCCCTTGTTATTATCTGTCTTTGTATTCTAACCATCCTAGTGGGCGTGAAGCGGCATCTCAGTGTGTTTTCAATTTGCTGATGACTGACAACTAATGATGTTCCACATCTTTTCATGTGCACATTGGTCCTTTGTAGATCATCTTTGGAGAAATGTCTACTCAGATCCTTTGTGTTTGAATTGGGGCTTCCTTGACTTCTGCCGAGGGAAGCAGCCCTCTCTTCTCAGGGAACTCTGCCCCACTGGGTGAAGGCTCCTGACTAGATGGGCATTTGGCAGGGTTACTGATGGCAACAGGGAATGAAATCATGCAGCATCCAGGGAGATGCAGGGGTGAGTGGACAGGCAGGCTGAGCAACCAGACCTAAACTGATAGGCAACAGGGAGCCACCAAGAGTCTGGGCCAGTGGGTCAGAAGAACGGAGCCTCTCATCACCATTCCCGACCCACTACAAACCTTGGACAAGTCAAGGCACTTATCTTCTCTAGGCCCCAGATTTCATCCCCAAAACGTGTTTGCTAATGCCTGGCCTATGTACCTTGTAAAGCTGCTGGGGGATTAAAAGCCCTGGGTGGAGAACCTACTCAAGTATCAAGTCTCTATACAAAGCAGAGAATGTACCAGTCCATACTTCCATTTCTAGAATCCCATAGATTTTGTTTGCTGCCTATAAGATGCCCAGCAGTGGGCAAAGGAGGTAAGATGTGATAACAGAGAATTTCTAGGTGGCAGTGTGGAAGACCAGGAGAAGCAAGGAGAAGGTGTTGGTAGTGATGGGATCTGCAACAGGGCCTCACCTGGCTGTGGGAGGGGCTGATGCCCAGTCCTGAGGTCCCATGAAACAGGTAGACAGCTCCCTGGTTCTCCTGTTCTCCCGGGGCCCCGATGGCCACATCTGCCAGCTTGTCCCCATTCACGTCCCCCAGCACAGTCAGGGCTGTCCCGAAGCGACCCCAGGGGTGGCCCTGCTCCCCACGGAGAATGCCCTCACACTGCCATCTAGCTCTCTGCAGAACAAAACCAATGCAACCCCTCAACCTGGGAAACTCCTTCACCCCACACCCAGCCCCACCCAGCCCAGGTCTGGTCATCAGCCACTCACCCCCCGAGGCAAGGAGCACACAGACACCTGGCCCCCCCGGGTCGGCTCATAGTAATGGGGAGCCCCAATGAGGACCAGGTCAGAGCTGCCATCTCTGTCCATGTCCACGGAGCACAGGGAGGCCCCAAAGTAAGAGCCAATCTGGAAGGTAGAGACTGAAGTCACCCTGTCTGCCCTCACCAGAGAGGCATCCCTCTGGCCAAGTTCCGCCTCTACCCAGGCACAAGCCCCAAACCCCTTCATCTCCTCCCTCTCCAGCCCTGGAGACCCTGCCACCCTCACGTTCCTCCACACCCAACCTGGGTCCCTGTGACTTCAGCCATCGGCCTCCATTTCCCGGACATTCGGGTAAAGATGACAGCCTTCCCGGTGTGCTGATGGCGGGGGGCCCCCAGGACCAAGCTCTGCACCCCCTTCCAAAGGGCCAGCTCAATGGAGTAACCTGAGGGGGGCCAGACCTCAGCACAAAGGCTTGCATGCTCCTGCCCCCCAAGCTGCCCCTCCCAGGCAGCTCATGTCCCACCTGTCCTCACAACCAAAGCCTTTTCTCACCCAGGTAAGAGTCCCTCATGTCCACATTCTCCTGAGACATGTTGATGAATGTGGGGCTCACATTTGGGGGGTACACAAAGGCACCTCCAGACCAGCTGAAGCTCCCCACAGCCCCCAGAACTGGTCCATCCTGTGGAGAAAGGATTCTGGGGCTGAGCAGGGGAAGCGAGGAGAGACAGCAATTCCAAAGCAATCCCTGCTGCTGACTCCTGTCATTGGTTGGAATTATTTTACTTCCCTGGCCCCCACAAACTGCCTGTGTCCCTGCCTGCTACCATCTGTCAGTCCATCCCCACTGCCCCTGTCCCAGTCCAATCCATCACCTCTCACCCACGGCCTCAGTCCCACCCTACTGGCAAAGCGAGATGGCTCTCTGTCACCAAGCCCCTTCGGATGGCATCTGGGATACATCCCAATCAAACATTTGGGTTACCCTCTGCTCCCAAATACATCAAGCCTGTGACCTGGACCCTTCTCTCCTCTTTCTGAGACTCAACTCCTCTCTCTGGAAGAATCAGTCCCAAGTCCCTCCTCTGTGGGGCTTCCTCAGTTCCCTTGGGACATGATAGGCATTTCCTACTCTGCAGAGACTGTTCACTTTACAAACTTTTGATTGTGGATAATTTAGAACATAAAGAGAAGTAGAAAGAAATGTATAATGAACTCATAAATACCACTGATCAATTAATGACCAAACTAATTTCATTTGTACATTCCCCTCATTCCCTCCTCAAATTATTTGGAGACAAATCCCTCTAGGTATTTTGGACACACCCCTACCATTGGAGAAGGCATGCTATATTGTCATGTCTTTGCATGGTCTGGCCTCTCCCACCTGTCATGGCCATCTCCTTCCATGCTGCCTTTAGCTCACTGTGCTCCAGCTATGCTGACCCTTCTAACTCACTATTGCAGTGACCTTATTCCTGCCTCAGGACATTTGCACTTGCTTTTTCCTGTACTTGGAGCAACCTCTCCCAGATTCTCCCAAGGCTGGTCATTTGTCATCATTCAGCCTCAGTTATTACTCCTCAGGCCTCCTCTGATCACCTCTCTTACTCTATCACAACAATTAGAGTCCCAATCTGAAAGTCTTTTGTTTGTTGTTTTTCATCTCCTCCCACTAGATAAATGCTCCATTAGAGAAGGAACCTTGGCTATATTGTTCTCTACCTTGTTCCCAGCACCTACATATATTCCCTGAATGTCTCACCCTGAATAGATGGTTAGCTTCAAGACAGGGTCTGCTTTCTTGTTTACTTCTGGGTCCTAGCTACCTACCGATCAAAGGCCAGCCCAGGCTAGTGCCTGAGACCTGTCTGTCAAGCACATGCTCCACCCACCGTTGTGAGTACTGAACTGAAGCCTTCTTGTGACATCTCATGCTGGAAAGAGCTACTTGTCCTCGACTGGGTTCCTGTGAGGAAACAGGTCACTTAGGGTCCCAGAAACCATGAGACCACAAGGATTCAAAGCAGATGAGTGAGAATGTGGCTTGGGGCTTGGGTTCTTGGGAGCAATTTGAGAGGAATTATGAATAGGGATGGACCTTCAGGACTGCAGGGTACAATTGGGCTGGGACCACTTTAATTCCAAGACCCAAGCTTTTTCCTCATTTACCTTCAACTGCAAAGATTTTCTCCTGCAGCTGCTTCTGGATGCTGCCAAGTGCTGCAAAGTTGTCCACCTTGAACACATGGTCCTGCAAGGGTGATGAGCCAATCATGTTCAGCTCCTGCTTGGCAGTGGGCTCCTGGAAGGCATCACCCACCTGCGGCAGAGAGGCAGCTGAAGATGAGAAATCCACCAGCTTTGCTGCCTGGGTGAGGTGCAGGCTGAGAGAGGGGGAGTCATGAGGAAGAGAGCGTACCCCAATGGCATAGCGAATAATCCCGGCTTTCTCAGCCTGGGGGATGACATCACTGTACTCCAGGGGGTCTTTGTATTTCTGTCCATCTGTGATAACAATGAGGATCTTCTTGGCACTTTTGCGGGCTCCATTCTTACTATGAAATAGTTCTTTCCTGTCAGGGGAGAAAGGGAGATGGCTCTACTGAGATGGGATTGATTCTGGAAATTGTTTGCAGCACTAGAAGCTCATCTGGAGATATCGGGGAGTCCTGGTACCCTCATACGGCCAGGCATATTAAGAAATCAATTCAGCCCTTTTTGAAAATCATACTGACAATTATTAGTAAGACTGATAATAAAGATACTTCTATTCCTTGTTCCTAAAATTCCATCCACTATGGAACCTCATTCCAGGAGGCAATATGGTTCTGAGTAGGAGCTCTGGAGTCAGACACACTTTGAGCAAGTTACTTTATCTCTCTGAGCCTCTGCTTCTCTCCATGCAAGACAAGAATAGTAAGTATGCCACAGGTGGTCTCCATAGATGGCCCCCACTGAGCCTCACTCGCCTTCCTTCCCATACTGAACGTGGCCTGTGACTTTTTCTAATCAGTGGCATGCAATGGAAGTGACACCATGCCAGTTATGGGCCTAAGAAGACTTAGTAGCTTTTGCGCTTTGGAGAGCCCTTGAACCACCATGAGAAAAGTCTAACTACCCTGTCGGAGACCCCCCATGGAGTGACCACATGCAGTTTAGAGGCCCAGATAGCCCAGCCGAGCCCAGCCTTCTGGACAATCCTGCCAAGACAGGAACGAAGTTCCTGTGTACCAGCCTCAGATGCCACCTGGCCAGCTGGGCCCCAGGATCAAGCAAACAATAATAAAAGTTGTCATTTAAACCACTAAATTTGGGAGTTGTTTGTTTGGCAACAATAGATAATGGAGACAAATACTATCATATTATTCTGAGGGTTAAATAAGGTCAAGCTTTTACAATAGTGAATGGCCTAGAGGTAAAGCATTAATTCTATGGTAGTTGTTACAAACTATTAAAAATGTAACTGTATGCTCATGTAGCTCTACAAACTCAGAATTTACACACACATGCCAAATGTAATACCGGAAACAACCTAAAGGTCCAATGTCAGGGAAGGTGTTTAGCGAATCATGACCCAGGTCCTTGGTGGGAAAGTGCACAGCCCTTTCAAAGAAAACAAGAAAAGCTGTAGAGGCATGTGGAAAAGATTTATACACATGAAAAAGAGGCAGGATGAAAATAGTTTCTATCCTGACCATGACTATATAAAATATATCTGTATAAACACAAGGATGGGAATGACACTGCTTTGCAGGGGGGATTTATTCATTCATTTGTTCTTACTTCTTTTTGTTGCTAAAATACCATGAGGTGTTTGGCTAGAGGGAACTGTTGTTCCCCATTTTTTCCTTAAAGTTATTGACAGTTTGTCTTTTCTGTAAGAACATGTCTAACCCTACCCCCCCCGCCCCGTCCCTGGCCCCCAGTCAGTGGTAGGGAGGAGCTGAGTCCAGCCCTGCCATGGGCTTGACTCTGGGGAACAGGAGGCTGCTGTTCTGGGAGATGGGGAGCAGGACAGCATGGATGAAAACCACACCATCCGCCACCACTAGAAGGAGCTCCAGAGTAGAAAAGGACACCAACACGAGCAAAGTCTAACTGTAGGGACAGAGGCTTTTCTCATGGTGGTCCAGTCCCAAAGGGCCGGTGCCCGAGGCAGAAGAGCCACCAGAAGTAAAGACAGTGCATTTGGCAGAGACATCCCTTGTTCAGCATATCTCCAGAGCAGCACCCAGGAGTGTGCAGGGAGTAAAGGGCCCCAGACATCCAGCCCCACTCTTTCCCACAAGAACCACATTCTCTTCTGTTCCAGCCTCACCACCTAAGCCATTTTCTTCACAGGCCATCTAGCACCCAATGCTGAGCAGGCACACGATAAGCACCCACTTAATGAAGAGGGCACGTGTGGATGAGGAGCAAAGGGAGGGAGGGTGTCTTATTTGTGTCTTGAGGACAAAGACACAAATAAGACACTTGGCAACAATTCCTGAGTCGCTGCCAGGGAGGCAAAGAGGGGCTATACCATTCTCTGAATAAAACCCCAACCATTTATCCAGCACTTTCTGGGCAGGAGCACCTCACACATGTTAGTTCATTTAATCCTACAATCAAGCTGTGAGTTTATGCTCATTTGACAATTTACTGAGATAGAAAGAGTCAATAACTCCCAGAGTTGCCCAGATAGTAAGTGGGGAGCCAGCATGGGAACATAGATGTGCCTGAACCACAGCCCATGAGCTGGCTGCCGTAGGTGTGCTCTGGATCCAGCCAATTTAAGGCCAGGCAAAGAGGAAAAACTGGGCAGAGGAGTCCTGTCCTGTACCAGGGGGAATGCAGTAAGTGAGGAGAACAAAAACACTCCAGGGAGGACTCTGCCTGCAGCCCCCTCACTTCCCTTTGGTGTCCCTTTCCCCAGAGCCTCCCTCAGCCTGAAAGAAGGGCTGTGCAGCCCCAGCATGAGGAAGTGGTGTGGCAGGGTCCCACAGGCAGCAGGAGGGGAGCTTACACCACTGTCAGGATGCCTGTGGCTGTAAACGTCAGTCCTTTCAGTTGGATGATGGGATCCACCAGGCTCTGAAGGCTCGAGCTGGTCTGGAATTTGGTGAAGGTGAAGTGGGTCTCCAGGAGGTTCGAGTACTGCATCAGTGAGAACTGCAGAGCCAAGAGGAGGGCCCTGGGCTCAGGAATTGTCATTTCTGTGTTTAACAAGCTTTTTATTTTGGAATAATTTTGGGTCTACAAACCATGGCCCATGTGTTTTTGAGGCCAGCAAATATACACTGAAACCCAGAAGAAAAGAAAATGACCCAAAAAGAAAACTAGAAAATCAAAATCAAACAATGCTTCTTTCATTAGAAAGCAAGAATAACCTTGCCAACCACAATATTTGTTAAACTTAAATTTAAAAAATTATAACAATGAAATCAATTTGTAGGCTATATTTCCTCATGTCTTAAGAATTTGTAAGGGCAGGTACCTTTGGACTCTGGAGAGGAGCAGAAAAGACAGGTGACAAAAAAGAATAGGTGGAGGAGGTGAACACCAGGATACCCACTGGAAGAGGAAACCCAACAACAAAGGAACCACTAACAGATAGCAACAGAAGAAGGTGAAGGAGGGAGTAGTAACTACACAAACCTCAATCCAGGACCTATCTGGAAATACAAACAAACAGTAGAGACAGTACCCAATACAAACAACTGAACAAGAATTCTTTAAACCTTATACACACAGAAGAACCAGCTTCAACACAACCTGCCCTCACAGGCACAACAAAATACAGGAGGTGGTGGACAGAGTGACCCTCATTTAATCAGCTGGTGGGAAGGAACCACCAAAGAAAGACTCAACAACAATCAAAACCCAAAGGCAAACACAAAACTAACTTAAACGACAGCCCAAGACCAGTGAGCTTGGGAGATCAAGGAAACAGCACCACTGAAATTCACTGCTATTCGACTAAAGAAGTTCACAACATAAACCCAGGGACCCAGAACAGATCCATATAAGAAGCTGAGGCAAACAAGAAGAGTCTCACAAACAATGGGAAGACAAAGAAACAATCCCCAAATGAAAGGAAAGGAGGAAGCCTCAGAAAGAATGCTAAATGAAATAGAGGCAATTCAACTATCAGATATTGAGTTCAAAGCGATGATTGTCAGGAAGCTCAATGAGCTCACAATGAGCTACCAGAAACTATAGGGAAGCTACAATGAACTCACTGAAAACTACATCAGCATAAAAAAGGAAATAGAAACTCTCAACAAGGGCCAAGAGGAAATGAAGAATACAATTTCTTTTTTTTTAAACAAACAAATCTTTTTAAAAATATTTTATTTATTTATTTATTTTAGAGAGGGAAGGGGGGGAGAGAGAGAGAAAGAGAGAGAGAGAGAGAAACATCAATGTGCGGTTGCTGGGGGTTATGGCCTACAACCCTGGAATGTACCCTGGCTGGGAATTGAACCTGGGACACTTTGGTTCCCAGTCCACGCTCAATCCACTGAACTATGCCAGCCAGGGCAAGAATACAATTTCTGATCTGAAGAACACAGTAGAAGGAATGAAAAGCAGGATCGATGAAGGAGAAGATTGGATCAGTGAGCTAGAGGACAAAGTAGAAGAAAACATCCAGAAAGAGCAAAAAAAGGAAAAGAGGCTCAGAAAGAATGAAGAGGAATTAAGAGAAATGCAAGACAATATGAAACGTAATAATATCCGTATGATAGGGATACCAGGAGAAGAAGAAGAACAAGGGATAGAAAACCTATTTGAAAAAGTAATGATGGAAAACTTCCCTAATTTGATGAGAGAAAAAGTCACACAAATCCAGGAAACACAGAGAGTCCCAATCAAGAGGAACCCAAAGAGACCCACCTCAAGACACATCATAATTAAAATGGCAAAATTTCAAGACAAAGAGAGAATCTTAAAGGCAGCAAGAGAGAAACAGGAAGTAACATACAAGGGAGCCCCAATAAGGCTAACAGCTGACTTCTCAATGGAAGCACTCCAAGCCAGAAGAGAATGGCAAGAAATAATCCAAGTAATGAGAACCAGAGGCCTGCAACCACAACTACTTTACTCAGCAAGGCTCTCAATCAAGATAGAAGGCCAAATAAGAAGCTTCTCAGACAAAAGAAGTCTAAAAGAATACACCTCCACTAAGCCAGCTCTGCAAGAGATGCTAAAGGGACTGCTTTAAGGAAAGAAAGGAAAAGAGAGAGTGAGAGAGTAACACACGTACATAAAAGGCAATGAATAAGCAATTGATATTACCTATCAATAATAACCTTAAACGTAAATGGATTAAATGCTCCAATCAAAAGACATAGAATAGCTGATTGGATAAGAAAACATGACCCACACATATGCTGCCTACAAGAGACCCACCTCAGGATAAAAGATCTGCACAGACTGAAAGTGAAGGGCTGGAAACAAATTTTCCAAGCAAATGGACAGGAAAAAAAAGCTGGGGTAGCAATACTTATATCTGACAAAATAGACTTCCAAAAAAGGACCATAAAGAGAGACCCAGAAGGTCATTTCATAATACTCAAGGGAAGAATCCACCAAGAAGACATAAATATTGTAAATATATATGCACCCAAAATAGGAGCACCCAAATACATAAAGAAAATCTTAGAGGACTTCAAGAAAGATATTGACAGCAACACAATTATTGTGGGGGATTTTAACACCCCACTATCAAAAATGGACAGATCTTCCAAACAAAATATCAACAAAAATAATGTGGCATTGAACAATACCCTAGATGAAATGGGCTTTACTGATATATACAGAATCCTCCATCCCAAAGAAGCTAGATACACATTTTTTTCAAATGTACATGGAACATTTTCAAAGATTGACCACATGATAGGACACAAAACAAGCCTCAACAATTTCAAAAAAATTGAAATCATACCAAGCATTTTCTCAGACCACAAGGGACTGAAACTAGAAACCAACCCCAAGGAAAAAAACCCAAAACACTCAAATTTATGGAGATTAAATAGCATGCTATTAAGCAATGAATGGGTCAAGAATGATATTAGGGAAGAAATCAAAAGGTTCCTGGAAACAAATGAAAACGAACTCACAACAATCCAAAACTTATGGGACACAGCCAAGGCAGTCCTGAGAGGGAAGTTCATAGCGATACAGGCCCACCTAAAAAAGTTAGAAACATTTCAAACAAACTACCTAACCCTACGTCTACAAAAACTCGAGGAACAACAACAAAGACAGCCCAGAGCAAGCATAGGAAGGAAATAACCAAGATCAGAGAAGAATTAAATGACATAGAGACTAAAAGCACAATTCTAAGGATCAATGAATCCAAGAGCTGGTTCTTTGAAAAGATAAACAAAATCGACAAGCCTTTAAGCAGACTCATCAAGAAAAAAAAGAGAAGACCCAAATAAACACAATCAGAAATGAAAGAGGAGAGATTACAACAGATACCACAGAAATACAAAGGATTGTAAGAAATTACTACGAAGAACTGCATGCCAAGAAATTTGAAAACCTAGATGAAATGGACAAATTTCTAGAAAAATATAATCTTTCAAAACTCAATAAAAAAGAAGCAGAAAGCCTGAACATACAAATAACAGCAAAAGAAATTGAAGCAGTAATCAAAAAACTCCTAACACACAAAAGCCCTGGACCAGATAGTTTCACAGGAGAATTCTACAAAGCATTTAAGGAAGAGCTAACCCCTATCCTTTACAGACTATTTCAAAAAATCCAAAAAGATGGAAGACTCCCAAACTCTTTTTATGAGGCCAACATCATCCTAATTCCAAAACCAGATAAAGACACAACAAAGAAAGAAAACTTCAGGCCAATATCGCTGATGAACATTGATGCTAAAATCCTCAACAAGATACTGGCAAACCGCATCCAACAGTACATTAAGAAGATCATACACCATGACCAAGTGGGATTCATTCCAGGTATGCAAGGATGGTACAATATTCACAAATCAGTAAATGTAATACATCACATAAACAAAAGCAAAGACAAAAACCACATGATCATATTAATAGATGCAGAAAAAGCATTTGATAAGATATAGCACCCATTTATGATAAAAACGTCAGCAAAGTGGGAATAGAGGGAGCATTCCTCAACATAATAAAGGCCATATATGAGAAACCTACAGCCAACATTATACTCAATGGGCAAAAATTAAAATCTTTTCCACTAAGATCAGGAACAAGACAAGGCTGTCCACTTTCACCACTTCTATTCAATATAGTACTGGAAGTTTTAGCCACAGCAATCAGACAAGAAAAAAGAAATAAAAGGAATCCAAATCGGAAAGGAGGAAACAAAACTGTCACTGTTTGCAGATGACATGATAGTGTACATAGAAAATCCTATAGACTCCACCAAAAAACTGCTTGACCTAATAAATGAATTTGGCAAAACAGCGGGATGCAAAGTCAATATCCAGAAATCAAAGGCATTTCTGTACACCAATAGGCATTGTTTCACCAACAATGAAACAGCAGAAGCAGAAATCAAGAAAAAAATACCATTTGAAATAGCAAAAAGAAAAATAAAATACCTAGGAATAAACCTAACCAAAGAGGTAAAAGACCTGTATTCAGAAAACTACATAACACTGAGGAGAGAAGTCAAGGAAGACAGAAACAAATGGAAACATATACCGTGTTCATGGATTGGAAGAATTAATATCATCAAAATGTCCATACTACCCAAAGCAATTTACACATTCAATGCAATACCTATTAAAGTACCAATGGCTTATTTCACAGACATAGAACAAACACTTCAACAATTTATATGGAACCATAAACGACTCCGAATAGCTGCTGCAATTTTGAGAAAGAAGAGTAAAGTAGGAGGGATCACAATACCTGACACTAAACTATACTACAAGGCCACTGTAATCAAAACAGCCTGGTACTGGCATAAAAACAGGCACATGGACCAATGGAACAGAACAGAGAGCCCAGAAATAAACCCAAGTCTCTACGGTCAATTAATATTTGACAAAGGAAGCAGCAACATAAAATGGAATAAAAATAGCCTCTTCAACAAATGGTGTTGGGAGAACTGGACAGCTACATGCAAAAAAACGAAATTCGAGCACCAACTTACACCTTATACAAAAATAAATTCAAGGTGGATAAAAGACTTAAATATAAACCGTGACACCATTAAAGTCCTAGAAGAAAACGTAGGCAGGAAAATCTCAGATATTTCACGCAGAAACTTTTTTACTGACATGTCTCCTAGAGCAAGGGACATAAAGGAAAGAATAAACAAATGGGACCTCATCAAAATAAAAAGCTTTTGCACAGCTAAAGAAAACAGTATCAAAATTAAAAGAGAACCAACTGTATGGGAAAACATATTTGCCAATGATACCTCAGACAAGGGTTTAATCTCCAAAATATATAAAGAACTTACATGACTCCACTCTAAGAAGACAAGTAACCCAATTAAAAAATGGGAAAAGGACTTGAACAGACACTTCTCCAAGGAGGACATGCAGAAAATCCAAAGACACATGAAACGATGTTCAATATCGCTAGCTATCAGAGAGATGCAGATTAAAACCACAATGAGATACAACTTCACACCAGTCAGAATGGCCATCATAAACAAAGCAACAAACAACAAGTGTTGGAGAGATTGTGGAGAAAAGTGGACCCTAGTGCACTGTTGGCAGGACTGCAGACTGGTACAACAACTATGGAAAGCAGTATGGAACTTCCTCAGGAAACTAAAAATGGATCTGCCTTTTGACCCTGCAATTCCACTGCTGGGACTATATCCTAAGAACATTGAAACACCAATACAAAAGAACCTATACATCCCAATGTTCATAGCAGCACAATTTACAATAGCTAGATGATGGAAGCAACCTAGATGCCCATCAGTAAATGAATGGATCAAAAGACTATGGTACATTTACACAATGGAATTCTATGCAGCAGAAATAAAGAAGGAGCTCCTACCCTTTGCAACAGCATGGATGGAGCTGGAAAGCATTATGCTAAGCAAAACAAGCCAGGCAGTGAAAGACAAATACCACATGATATCACCTTTAACAGGAACCTAAACAACAAAACAAAGAAACAAGCAAAATATAACCAAAGACATTGAAATAGGGGACAGACTGACAGTGACCAGAGGGGAGAGAAGAGGGAATTTCAGGGGGGAATGGGTAGGGTTTACAGGAACAAATTTAAAGGACACATGGACAAAAACTAGGGGTGGGGGGTAATGGGAGGGAAGTAGGGAGGGTTGGGTGGGTGGGCTGGAATGGGAGTAAATGGGAGAAAACTGTACTTGAACAATGATTAAAATAAAATTTAAAAAATAATAAATTTTCTTCAGTTAAAAAAAAAAGAATTTGTATAGAAGATGGAGGCATAGGTAGACACACTGTGCCTCCTTGCACAACCAAGATAGGGACAACAACAATTTAGAAATAGAATAACAACCAGAACTGACAGAGAATATCTGATTGAAAGTCGGACAACCAAGAAGTTAAAACAGACATGTTCATCCAGAATCGTAGGAGGGGCGAAGTCGGGCAGCTGGGGCGAAGGTCACCGTGAGGAGAGCAGAAAACATTGAAACCGGGTGCATAAGGCATCTGGGGCGCACAAGACCGCATCGGTGGACCCTGAGCGCGCAAGCAGCAGCTGACAGACCCTGGCCAAGGGGTGGCAACCGGCAGACCCAGCAAGGCAGCGATTGCGAAGCAAGGCACTGCCTGCAACCCAGGATATCAGCGCTGGGAAATAGAGCCTTGGGACACCGATTGAAAACACCTGTGGGGGTTGAGGCACAGGGAGAGACTCCCAGCCTCACAGGAGAGGTCCTTGGAAAGTCCCATGATATGCACAAGCCCACCACAAGGGAATTGGCACCAGAGGGACCCAGTTTGCTCTGGGGAAGCAGTGGAAGGGACTGAGGTCCGATGGACAGCGGAGCAAGCACCATTGTTCCCTCTCGGAGCCCACCCCCACATGCAGTGTCACAACACAGTGACTAGGGTTCCCCACCCTGGTGAACACCTAAGGCTGCGCCCCTCATATATAACAGGCACAACCAGACCAAAGGGAAAAAAAAAAGATGGCCCAAACAAAATTGAAAGCCTCACAAGCACTACTTCTAAGCAATCAAGAGATAGCCAACCAATCAGATGCACAGTTCAAAGCACTGGTGATCAGGATGCTCACAGAATTGGTTGATTTTCATCACAAATTAGATGAAAAAATGAAGGCTACAATAAGTGAAATGAAGAAAAATGTACAGGGAACCAATAGTGATGGAATGAAAGCTGGGTCTCACATCAATGGAGTGGACCAGAAGGAAGAAAAAACATACCACCAGAAAAGAATGAAGAAATAAGAATTCAAAAAAAATGAGGAGAGGCTTAGGAACCTCCAGGACATCTTGAAACGATCCAACATCTGAATTATAGGGGTACCAGAAGGAGAAGGAGAAGAGCAACAAGTGGAAAACTTATTTGAACTAATAATAAAGGAGAACTTTCCCATTCTGGCAAAGGAAATAGACTTCCAGGAAGTCCAGGAAGCTCACAGAGTCCCAAAGAAGCTGGAGTCAAGGAGGAACACACAAAGGCACATCATAATTACATTAGCCAAGATTAAAATGAAGGAGAAAATCCTAGAAGCAGCAAGAGATAAGGAGTCAGTCACCTACAAAGGAGTTCCCATTAGACTGTCAGCTGATTTCTCAAAAGAGATCTTGCAGGCAAGAAGGGGCTGGAGAGAAGTATTCCAAGTCATGAAAGGCAAGAACCTACATCCAAGATTGTTCTATCCAGCAAAGCTGTCATTTAGAATGGAAGGGCAGATAAAGTGCTTCTCAGACAAGGTCAACTTAAAGGAGTTCATCATCACCAAGCCCTTATTATATGAAATGTTAAAAGGACTTATCTAAGAAAAAGAAGATAAAAAACATGTACAGTAAAATGACAGTGAACTCACAATTATTAACAACCACACCTAAAACAAAAACCAAAAGAAACTAAGCATACAACTAGAACAGGAACAGAACCACAGAAATGGAGATCACATGGAGGGTTATCAACAGGGGAGTGGGAGGAGGAGAGAGGGGGAAAAGGTATGGAGAATAAGTAGCATAGATGGTAGGTAGAAAATAGGAGGAGGGCAAAAATAGTATGGGAAATGTAGAAGCTAAAGAACTTATGACACATGGACATGAACTAAAGGGGGGAATGTGGGTGGGAGAGGGTGCGCAGGGTGGAGGGGAATGAAGGGGGGCAATGGGACAACCGTAATAGCATAATCAATAAAATATATTTAAAAAGAATTTGTTAGAACATATACACAAATCACTGGGAAACAAAATAATAAGATGAGGAAGTCATGAGTTACATGGAAAACATAATAAAGAATCATCAATTATTTGGCCAAGTTACCTTCAGTCAAATTTCACACCAAAATTATTTTACTGTTTTTTTTTTCAAGGCTTTTAAACAGCAGCTACATCATGTGGGAAACTACAAAATGCAATGGGGACACACCCTCGAGTCAGGGCTCATATTGGCCCTGAGCTGGAACCATACTTTGACCCTGGACCCTAGCCTCACCATGGTACAGGTCCACTGAGCCAGCTAGCCCCAGCAATGCTGTGCCCCCTGCCCAGCTTGTTTTTGCCAGAAGCAGACCCTTCCCCACCCTACTTCCCTAGCCTAGGGGGACCCAGTCTTCACCAGGGTGTTAGTGCCCTCAAACTGGCCCATCACAGCTCTGACAAAGTCTTTCATCTGCTTAAAGTCACTGTGGTCAATGCTGCCAGAGCCATCAATCAGGAAGACAATATCCATCTCTTGATTTGGACACTCTGCAGAAAGGGAGAGAAAAATCGGAGATGCATGTGTGAATCCCAATCATCTCCTGGGACCCAGAACACCTACCCACTCCACAGAGTCAGGGAGTTGTTCTTATCATGAGGGTCAATTCCCACCCTGTTTCCCACTCTCTCCACAAAGGAGACCCAAATCTGTTTTCCCAGCCCCTTCTCCCCTCGGGGAAGTCCTTGGTTCTGCCCTCTTCCCACAAGGCCCAAAATGGGGAAGGAGAAAGTACAGGACAGGGGCCCAGTGGGTTCCTCAATCATTTACCCAACAAACATTTATTGAAGACACAGTCTAAGTATGTCATAGAGCATAGGAGAAGGCAATTCAGCAGAGTTATTCAGAGTGTGCATTCTGAAGCCAGCATGCCTGTGCTCAAATCAGCTCCACCACCTACTAGGGGTGAATTCAAGCAAATTATGTAACTTCACTGGGCTTCAGTTTTCCCCATCTGCAAAATAGGGTTAATAATAGTGCCTTTCATGTGGGATTACTGCAAGGATAAAAAGCATTATATGTACACAAACACAAAGTGTCTAAGACAGGGGTAGCTGTTATGCCATCAGCACCATGTGCCAGGCATTGTTCTAGGCCCAAGGAAGGACACACTTGCAAGGGATGCTGGGTGTGCACCAAGACCCGATCCCTACCAGGACAGAAGCGCTTTTCCAGCCGCAGGGAACTGGCTGTCTATGGTGCCCAGCTGAGTCTCTCGCAGGAACCACCCGCTGTCACAAAGGGAGCTAGCTGCCTTGTCCACAGTTGTATCCCCTCCTCCTCCGGGCAACCTGTGTCCAGCCACACTCCACTCCAGACTCCAAGCTCCAAGGTCCAGGCTGAGGCCTCTGGTCTGATGGCTTTGCAGTCCACCCTCTCCCCCTGCCCAGGCCTGCTTTCCTCACACTGTTACAGGAAGTGTGACAGAAGACCATAGCTTTAAAAACAGACATCGTCCCAGCCTTTGTGGAGTCCACACTGGAATGGGAAGCCCTGCCATAAGCACAAATAAGACATTTCCGATTGTTCCCACACCCATGTGGGGCCTTGGGTCCTGTCTGCAAGACCTGGTGGTTAGCTGCAGCAGGGCCCCACATCCTGTGCTGCTCCCAGGTTCTGGGAGGTCAGGACCACAGCACTGAGGCCGAGGCAGAGCTGTGGCAGCTCCTCCCCCAGTGCACCCACTCAGCAAGCTGGTGCTGAGAAGAAAGGAAAATCACTTCTCTCCCCACTTCCTTCAGGACCAGGAAATCTAGCCATCCAAATGGCAAGCTCAGAAGCACCCCCTTCTCACTGTCACTCTCCCACAGCTAGGTAGCTGGTACTCCCTGTCACCATATCCTGCACTTTTGCCCACTTTTCTAGCTGCATCATGAAACTACCCCTCACACCCTCTTTCAGGCCAAGCAAGCTCTCTCACAAAGTCACTTCAGTTTCTTGCTCCTTTCAGTGTACCCACTGGGCTTCCAACAGTAGGCTGTTGTTGAGTGTCTTCTGAAAAAGGACTGAGCCAGTCAGGTGCAGTCGACTGAAACTCTGAACTCTACTTCCTAACAGCGGGAAGTCCCCTCTCTGACCCAGTTTCCTCATCTGTGTGCGGGAATCCTCCCGCCCACCACCCAGGACCGTGTGAGCATGCCACAAGGTCAGGTACCCACACTGCTTGGCACACCATTCCTTCTGCTCCCAGGCAAACTTGCATCGCCTACACCAGGTTTATGTGCCTGTGTCCCGTTTTCATCAGGCACCCCACCTCACGAGCTCCAGAGACATCTGGAAGACATTTACCTCCTAGTGTTTAAGTGCCACATCCCTTCCCTAGCTACACAGACATCCCAGGCAGAGCACAGTGCTCCAAGAGTCCTGAACCCCCTCTGCCACTCCTTGTTCCCTCCACAGACTCTGCTCCCACAGTGTGGCCTGGGGCGTTTCTGCTGCTGCTTCTCCTTTGGCTAAAAGCCCACCACGCCTGGCATCAGCCATGTTCTCAGCACCTGGAGTGGTCCTGGCCCTCACTCGGGGCCTGTTATCCCCTCTGATGCCACAGAGGAGGCCATTTATATCTCCCTCCTAGTCTATGTTGTCCTCAGCTAGATGAGTCCTAATGACCATCATATAGTCTGTGCAAGGCAGGGGTCTGAGCACTTTATATATGTTAACTCTTCTAATCCTCGCAAACACCTTGATTATATAGTGTCACTTTACTAATGAGGAAACTAAGACCCAGGGAATGAAACCACTTGCCCAAGGACACAGAAGATGAACTTAGGCAGAGAGATGCCTCTGCAGTGTGTCCAGGCACCACTCTGTGGAAGATGCCAGTGCTGGCAAAACTGCAGTGCACTTCCTACAGCCCTGTTGTTTGCTGCCCTTAGAAGAGAAAGAGTTTGTTAGGGGACTCCTGGCAGCTCAGCAGGCTGGGGCCACTGGGAAGGCTGTTTCAGTTAAAGAAGCAGAGGCCCAGACCCCATGCTCTACTCACTTCTCAGTGCCAGCATGTGCTCCCACAGAACTGCTATCTCTAAGAGACTTACCTGGTTGGACAGCGGGGACTCTCTGGATAATCTGCAGCTGGGAGCCCAACAGGAGGCAGGAACCTTCTACATACATGTTCTCCCCACAGGCTCTTTGCATGGTCGGGCCACAGGCCTGGGTGCAGAGACCTGTATAGGCAAGGGGGGCCCCAGAACACTGCCCCTCCTCTCCCCCAACCCCAGCCTTCTCTGGCCCCAGCCCTTCTTGACCCTCCTGTGGCCCAGGGAACTCACCAACAGCCAGGAGTGGTTGATCGAGGCTGCTAGGGACAGGCCCAGGGACATGTTCCCAGCCTGTAGTGGGGCTAAGAGGGAAGGTGCACATGGTCACACTCACAGGCACACTCTCACTTGTGGGGAGGATCTGGGCTGGAGGCTGAGGAGGGTGGACTCATGTGTAGGAGAGTTGAGGGCCCCAATTCCTGGGCCAGATCACTCACTGTGCAGTGAAATGGGCTGACATAGGCTAGAGGCAGCATCGCAGCTATACAACCGTCCCGTTTGGTTGACTGCCACCACTTCCAGGGGGGCTCCCACAATGAGTCTGGAAGCACACCATGACAGACAGTCACAGGTGGGCTGGGGGCACAGGGCACTCCGGGGTGTGAAGGAGAAGTGAAACTCTGCTCTTGGCATCTGGCACTTGTGAGGCTATTCAAAAACCAGGGCTTGAGTTGAACTCACAAATGCTAAGGACCACACTGTTTCGTGGGGGGGGGGCATGAATATATGTATATTTATGCATACAAATTTCTTAAACATTCACCAAAACCAAAATTATGCAAACCAAAATTATACAAAACAAAATTATGCAAAATTATGACAACTGTGAGTATGTGCATTTTGTTTTTGGGGGCACCGTCATTCTTAGACACCCAAGAAACAGGTCACTTCAAGCTAAATGGAAAAAGTTTCTGATGTAGTAAACTTTCAAAATAAATAGATGACTGTAATTAATTAGATAAAAATATAATATAAAAATTTAAATTGGACAATTTAAAACAGCTATACCAGGATCCATATCTACACCTACAGTCACATAAATGCAATAGTTTATTTGCAAAACTCCTTGAGAGAGAATTTTTGAATTTTGGAAAAAGATTTATCACTACCAACAACCTCTCCAACTTAGATGAGAAAATTAGACAAATACTGGTGTGTTTTAATTAATTAACCAAGGAAGGCTTAGTTAAATTGGTATTTAAAGTCCCTTCTACAGAGCCATTCTTCCATGGAAAGCTGAAACCCCTGTGTGTCTACAGTTGCCGATGGAAACCTAAACAGATGTAGCAGTTTGGGACCCGCTGGTATAAACGCATGACGAAGGTTTAGTCTTAAACTATTATTCTGCATGTTTTTCTTTATCCCAATTTATTCCTCATACATGGGCTCAATCGTTTTAGTATTTGGGCTACAATTCAGCAGAAAGCAGGAAAAACAATAACCTTGTAACAATCATAATGTCATCTAATATATATTATTACTTTATTATAAATACTGGAGAACAGTGTCCAGTCAATAGTTTCATATTCATTCTTTAAGGCAGAGGGCCTGGACAAAGACCGATGGTGATGGGAGTGGGACAGTGGCTATCATCAGATTTGTTGGGTGTTGAGTTTATCAGGAGGGGCACAGGGATTCCCAGGGGGACTCAGGGGTGGGGTGGGGCTGGAGATGTTCTTCATGTTGATCTAGGTGACAGTTACCTGGGTACACACATATGCAAAAGTCATTGAGTTGGACCTTTTAGATTTTTACTTTTCAGTCTATGTGTTATCTTTCAAAGCACCCAAAAAAACAAAAAACAAAACAACCAAAAACAAAACTCTGGTGCCTGGCACTTGCTTTTTTGTCCCCAGTCTGCCAGCTGGGAGAGAAAGGGGGAGGGATGGGCATTTAGAACTCAGTGACTTCTCTACACCCTTTCTTAGCCAACTGAATCTGCCTGTGCTCTTGGGTTCATTGCCAATGCCACCTCTTCTGTGGAGCCTTCCTGGAATTCCTTCCTGGATTTGGTCTCTCCCTTCATCTTCTCATTGTACACAGACCCCAAGGTCCAGATTGGAAATATACTTAGATATAATCACCAAATGTCCAGACTTTGGTTATGCTTGCATTAAGTTGTGACTTCAGCTCCTTGGGTCTGTCTCTGGGCCCTGGGAATGTGTGCTCCTGAGTCAGGGCCAGGTATAAAATTTGCCAGTCCCACTGTAAAATTAAAATATAAGGTCTATTTTCTTGGAAAAAAAGGTTTTTTCCTTCTTTTTGAGGTCTTTCTCTCTCTACCTGTCCTGTATTTTCTGTCTGCTATTTAATTTCATACTCCCTCTGGCCCAGGGATACTCACAGGGCCAGCGCAGATCCTCAGAGGACTGGGCAAGCCTGGCAAAACCCATCGGGACCTAGCCCAGCTCATGCCAGGGGCTGAGGTCAGCAATAGTCACTAGGTGAGGGTGATGAAGCAGGCAGCTGAGAACCCCTACCCCAGAGTCTGTGGGAGACTGGGCCACTTGTGAGCCAGGGCCCCAAAGCTCCCAGTGCATCTCTACTGTTCCACAGATCTTAACTTACAAAACACACTTTGCAATTGCAAAGATTAAATTATTAATTATTTTAAGAGGGAGACAGAAAAACAGTACTTCAAGTGCAGGGACCCAAGTGCAGAGGCAATTGCACTGGACGCATGCCAAGAAGCCAGCCTTGGAGGGCAGATTCAAGGTGTCTCTCCCAGGGTCATATCTTGCCCAGAGTTTGCAGCCTGTCCTGGGATTGTAAATAGTTAGTAATGGTGTCAGGGGCCTTGAGAGAATAGGCTTCTCACCTATGCTGCTCTTCCCCCAGGACTCCTCCTGGGCTGCTGCATACAGTCACCTGCCTGTAGGATGAGGGTGAGGAAGAGAGGGGAGTGGGTGGGGCCTACCTAGATCGGCCGAAAGGGACCATGGTCTGTCCAAAGCCAGCTGCGTCCTCTCGGAAGACCATGGGCTCTTCCACATCCAGGTTGAATCCACGATAAGAAGCCAGAACTGAGGAATATGGGGAGGTAGGTGGGAAAGACAGTCAGAAAAGCCCCACTCTTCTGGATCCCTGACTTCTTGAAATCTTGATGCCACCCTACTCTGGCTGGGTTTCCCCTCTGCCCATCTTCTTTGTTTCCTGCCTTGCCAGTTGTGTGGTTCCTGCCCCTCTCTGTCCCTTAAAAATAATCAGAAACAATGCAAAAGAAAACAACCCAGAAAAAAGTCTCTTCAGGGACAATTCGAAGGATATGCATAATCTGAAATTAGGTCCATCACCTCCTGGTATGTTAGATTAGGAATGTCTTTTAAAAATAAGTGACCACACAGTTTACTATCTAAATGGAGACCTTCTGAAAGTAAAGGGGATGCCATTAATAATTTTACCAGGGAGTCTGGAACTGCCGCAGGCAAAGCAGGACACATGGTCACCATGTTTAAATACTGTCCTGCTTTGTCTTTTCATCATACAGAGACCCTTAAGGTCCAGATCGGAGAAAATACGTGGAATTCTGTGATTCATTATTTGAAATTATGTTTCCCTTGTCCCTCTCAGAGTCTGGTGCAGTGCCTGGTGTTGGGAACCGCCCTGACTGGTATCAGAAGCTGAAACCCCCACCTAGGCTAAGGCTAAGGGAACGCCCTTGGAACCGTAAGCCAGCAAGGAAACAAAAGCTTATCTCCCTGGCAGGAATGCTGCTTCTGCTGCTTTATTCATAACTGAACCCCCAAAAGCTTGGTCGGTTAGCCAAAGACGGGTAAGATTCCCCAAGGGGGGAACGACCTAAGACAGGCACAATCACTTTGGGAGTCCCCCAAAAGAAGGACTTGAGGGGCTGCAGCAAAAGGGGGTGATGGACCCTCACTCCTCGGCTTTGACATAGCCTGAGTTCTCATGGTCTGGGAGAAAATCTCCTTATCTCTTGGTTGCCTTAGTTCCCTTGCTCCACCTAAGCCTGAAACAATGACAGAGTGGTGCAGCTCTGTGCTGAAAAGGGTGGATTCCCCGGGTGATCAGGCCTAAGAAAGAATATGTAAATTACTGTGAAACCTTCTTTGTTTAGAATGATCTCAGTTGAATGAGAAGGGTCCTAGGAGGAAGTTAGTTTGTTCCTCAAAATCTTACAGCTCTTTGACCCCGACTCAAAATAGACCCTCAGACTTCCTTGTTTTCTACGGTTCCTTACTTCCCCCTAATGAGTACTGTACTTTACCGGAATTATTATGCAAAATGAGCCAAATAAAAGCAGGTATGGACGGTAAATCGGCTCGCTCCTCACTAGAGGGGGTGGCCATTCCGTCCCTACTTCTCCACAGAAACTAGTTTTTCTCTGTGCATGTTTTTTCTCACGTGTTTTTCGGCGAGCCATCCGCAGCGTTCCGTGATCACTGCTGGCCGGTGACCCACGCAACAGCCTGCCCCTTGGCAGGTGACAAAGTACTACTTGTTGATTGACCCACAGCTGCCCAGCTGCCAGCACAGCCAAGGCTCCCGCCCTCTCTCCTGATCCTTAACTGATCCCTAGCTCTTCCCTGGTGGCTAGGCTCGAAAGCCTCAGGGGAAAACCCTCTACATAAAGGGCTTTTTCTTACTCCTCCACTCCCAAGCAACCACCTTTCCTGCCCATTTCTCCCAGAATTTCGAGTTCTCTCTGGATTGAGAGACTCTAACTCCAAGACAAGGGAAGCTCTACGGAAGGCTAAGCAGGAGGCTGGGCAGTGACAAGGAGGGTCCAGATGCCTGAACCCTGGGGTTCTGGGAAGAGGCCACATGTTTAGGGCTCTGGGACCCTACTATGACCACATGCAAGAGAGCCTCACATCCTATGTCTTCCTTTCAAAGAATGACTCTGCTTCTGAGTCTGGAAGCAGCCCCTTGGTAGCAGAATACCAAGGGTCTCCATCTCAAGTGCCTCAGGGCCAGGCAGGTGACATCAGTGAGTCAAGTGGGTGGGTGTGAGCACCAAAGAATGACCGGCACTTAAACATTGTGGCCCTTCTGAAGGGGACAGCCATCACCAGACTGCCAGAGCTGTCAATGCTCGCATTCCTCAAGAGAAGCTGAAAATCTGGATTTTTGTGTGAAATCTGATTTTTAAGTGGCACACAACTGGTTTTTAAATGACATATGAATATGGTTCTGACACACTTTTTAACTTCCAAAGTATTGTCTTGGCAGCAGTGGGACAGCCAACATGAAATCAAGACTTGGTGAAATGCAGAACCAAAGATGTGATACACAACATTTTCCCCTTGTTGGTGGTTTCTCTCTTTCTCCATGCGGTGTGGGGCTGACTCCTCTTGCCCACATAGCATGCACACAAGGGTCCCACAGGAGAGAGGGAGGAATGCCTTGGGGAATGTGGAGAGGTAGCCCATCCTCTGGCGAAGAACAACCCACCAACCCATTGGTTGGCTCACCTTCACTCAGGTCATGGCCCTCCCCAGATTCCAAGCCATTCCTCCTTCCACACCAGACCATGGACACTAAGTGGCTCCCCTGCCTTCAGCTCCTTTTGAGAGTAACATGAGCTGACCACCAGCCCCCACCCTGCCTTACCCACCCCCCACCCAAGGTTTCTCCCAGCTCCAAAGGCCCCCACTCACCACTCAGGAAGAGCATAATTCCAAGGGCCATCACAGAGCAGTGCACTGAAGGAGGAGTGCAGGGCTGAGCAACAGCGTGCTGAAGGGTGCTCGGTGTCCTGGGCAAGAGTTAAAATAATTACTCAAGGCCTTGAAGTGGGAGGAGGAAGAGCACATTGAGGAAGTCCTTGGTTCAGCACAGAACAGGCAGAGGCAAAAAGCCAAAGACACCCTTGGACAAAATCCCCCATATTCTCCTACCACCACCACCTCTAGGTCTCTGGCTTCATTCTCCAGAGCCTGGCTGTCCCAGAAGACCACCCTTCCCAGCCCTTGAAACTCAGTTGGTAGCCAGGGGATAGCTCTCTGGTAGGTCCCTGGCAGCCTCAGAAACCAGGAGGCATATGAGTGAAGTGGTGGAACGGCTGAAGCCCTACTACATGGATGTGAGCCTGGAGAGTGGCAGAAACACCCCTCAGGTAGTGGGGTTATGGGGCGAGGGGAGGAAGGACATAGGGGATGGTGTTGTTTAAAAAAGTGGACCCCATTAAGAGGAGAATGAATAACCAAAACGGTAAATTCATACAATTGACTTACTAGGGAGCAGGAAGTAACAATGCATGTAACGACAGGGATTAATCTCAACATCATCATAAACGAAAGAAGCCAGATACCAGAATGCATAGAGGATGAATCCTTTCATATGAACAGGTGAAACTAATCTATGAAGGTACAAATCAGAAGAGTAATTGTGTCTGTGGATGGGAGGAAACTTCTAATATTTTTTTCAATTTAACATATAGCACTGAACATTTTAACATTTGTTAAATCAGAGAGGGGTAGATAAATGGGTGGTTGCTATCTCTTCTCCATAATTTTCTGTGTGATTTCAGTATTACACAATTAAGTGTAAATAAATGTTTTGTAAAAACATGAAAAAAGGTTTGATGTAGAAAAGCCCAGGAGTAGACTTAGAAGGTTAAAATAGATGACAAAACCCCATAATGATGGCATATTATTTTAAGTATTATATGTATATGTTATTTCTAACAGTTAAAATGTAGATTAAACATCAATTGTAGATAATATAAGATAGTTTTCCAAATAAAAATTTTAGCTCAGTTTACTTGAGCTGCTACTTAATGGACAGAAGAAATCAATTAGACACTGGGAAGGACCTTGATGGTGCCCTTGCAGGGAAGGGGCCAAAGACTGCAACTGCTGGTTTGAGGCTGATTTCCTACCTCCTGCAAAGACTGTTGTTGAGACAACTGCAGGCCTCAATCCCATGGGCCAAAAGCCTGTGATACCAAATCTAGAGTTAATCCTGATTTAATTGCAGTTTCAACCTCTCCCAGATACATATCCTTAATGAACCAGTCTGGAATTTTCTGGTTAAGCACTAGTAAGGTAACATGTCACATGGGCCTTCTCCATCCCTCCAAAAGGAAGAAGGGGCAGTCTCCCTCCTTGCTTTCCCTTACACTCTCAAAAGAAGTCCTGGTCTAAAAATAATACTTTCTTTTCTTTTGCTAATAACTCCTCTGCCTCACCCTTCTTCTTATAAAAAAACTTTGAGTTTTGTACAACTGCTCCATACTTCTAGTTGCTAGAGGGGGTGCTGCCTGATTCATGAATCACTTAATAAAGCTAATTAGACCTTCAAATGTGCCTTGTTGAATTTTGTTCTTTAACACTATTGAGGCTGATTTGAACAGTAGTTTTCTCCTTGTGCTGAGGGGTCTACAGCAAACAGCAACCTGTTGTCAGTTCTGTGGGTCTGTGATCTCTGTGTCTAGAACCTCAAAAGAACTTTTGACGATTTTCCTAAATCCTCAAATTTAAAGATCTCTTCATGTCCCTCACCTTTGTCATACCTCATCTAATAGACACAATCCTGAATGATATTACCTTTCACACATAATCTTTAATTTTGGACTTCCCTTCACAAGCAACACTTGAGGCTAACTAACTGTGCTGATTTCAGCAGTTGTAAAGATTCCCATCTTTGCTTCAATTGTATTATCACTTGTCTCAGCAAAAGATTTTTGTTTCCTAGTCATTTTTAAAGAACAATAAGGGTGAATTGCAAAAAGATAAGCAAATACATGCCAAAACCACACAGTACCATGAAAGTGTCTTTCTCCCACACTCGCTGCTGACAGTGCCAAGGCCCCGACTGCCCCAGGGCATGTGATGGTCCTCAGCCCTGGCTACCCTCGGGGGCATGTAATGGGGGTACCACACTTAGGGGAACCTGCGACTCTCTAAATATTTTTAAAGCTTGTGATGTTGTCATTTATAATAAGAAATACATATTTTGTCTTTGTCCTGTTTCTGTCACAGAGACCCTAGAACTTTTGGAGTTTCCTAAGTGACAAGAGTATAATGCAGAACACACTCAGACTGGCCCTGTCATGTTTCTAACAAGATCCTGAGTTGCTTTTCAGAAACAACATACCAAAACTGCAAGCCATGGGATTGAAGTTTGCAAAAATGAAAGAACTTTGACCTCCAGTTGTAGGACAAAAGCTCAACGCACTCGGCCCATGGAACCAAAGGACCAGGATAGGAATGGAACTTTAACACATTGGAACCCTTTCAGCAGTGAAGGTGTGGTAGGCTGTTAGGCAAACATGAGCAGAGCAAGGATGATCCGCCAGGTAGAAAAGGTCACCAGCGTAGAAAGCCCTGGGTGCCTAGTAATGGGCAAAACTAGGAAAACAAGGACCTGGCCTTCAGGGTAACCTAACCTTTCGTTTCCTAGCATATCACTGCTCGTGTGGTTTACACCCCTGACATTTCATATCGCTGCTCATGTGGTTTACACCCTTGACCTTTCATATCACTGCTCATGTGGTTTATACCCCTGACCTTTCATATCGCTGATTTGGACCCTCCCCTGACCTTTCTTCCCCTGGCATGACTCTAGTCATGTGGTAGACCCCCTTACAGGAGAAACAAGGGGCCAAAGAGTAGCCTCATGCAACTCCCATGTGGGCCCTTGCACTACCACTCCCTGAAGCATTGTGGATGAAAAGGGGCCACATACTAAACCTGACAAGCTCAGGGGAGGTCTGCATGGTGGTCTTACAAACTCAGAGATGGAAAGTAACCACATGGGATGATCTGAAATTAAAACTTAGTAACTAAAAACCGTTTATGGCAGGTAGTTATGTCCTACACCAGAGTCTTCCCTGATAAAAGTCAATTTTTATCTTAATTAAGCCTGTCTGTCAGGCAGTATTAATAGATAACAAACCAAGGCAGGAAGGGAAGGGAGACACGTTTCACTCATTAATTCAGCAATCCTGAGCCTGGTCAGATAAGATTGCCAGGTGTTCCGAAGATTACAAGAGAGACCATGATAACGCAGGACGAGGAGAGCCTTTGAAATTCTGTGTGCTTTGCTCCCACTATCTGGGAAAGAAAGCCTTTGAAACTATATGTTAATTCCAAGGTCTGGAGAAGGGAGGAAGAGGGGGAGCCTGGAGGTTGGCTACAAGCATGAAAGCCCTAGAACCTCAATAGGCATGGCAGTCGAACTAGGTGGGTGCCCACTTGCAGCTTTGTGCTCAAATGTATTTCATAAATAAATTTACTATCTCATTTCTGCTATACGTGTTGTCTCGCCTGAATTCTTCTCTCACGAGTGAGGCAAGAACCGAGGAAGGGGAACTGCCTAACTCAGATCTCCCTGGTAACATGTCTACTGTCTAACATGTTTTCACATCTACGATAACGTGTCTTTAGAATGTCAAAATAATTTCCTTTTTCAGGGCCCTTCAAAGCACAGACACCGCACCAGGGCACCGGAGCAGAGACCACAAATCCCCTCATTGTTATTGAGTTAATTGTTGACTGTTAACTATCTTGTACCCACCTATGTAAAAAAGTATGTGTCTATCATTTTACTTTTTATCCAATCTCAGGGGTTTCCCCACTTTGCTTTCTCCTACCTCCTTAATCTATCACTGATAGATTTCATGTAACCTGCTTAGGTCTCTCCCTTGTGCTGAGCAAGATGGACCTGTGCAAATGCACTATCCCTAGGGTGGAACATGATCCATTGAAAGGGGTATGGGGGGGATCCCAGTCTGCCATAATTTGCCTCTGCTCCATCTCCTAGGCCTGACAGTGCTGCCTCCCCTGGCCAACATGTATGGTATGCACAGGCACATCAGATTCCTAAAGCTGTAGCCAACTAAGGGTCAGGCCACAAGTGTAATTCTTATAGAAGGGGGAGACCTTCCCATACAAGTTCCTAGTAAACATCTCTCTTTTTGACTTTAGACTTCTGCTGTTCCCATGGTGTCTGGTCACAAGATGATGAAAATACTTTTCTACAGCAGCCCTGCTCATGTACCTGCAAATAAATCAACCCAGCTGTTGGGTATGTTTCTCCTCTGTAGCTCATCAGGATTGACATAGTGGGTGTCACCACTCCATGGAGGGGATTAGAAGGCCCTAAAGCACTACATTAAGGAATAACTAGATAGGACTAGTCCTCTTAATTCAAGGATGCAGGCTTGAGAGAGCAACGTATTGCTGAGACCATCTGGATGGTACACATGACTGAACCCTGTTCACACCTCTGTATGTAGTGTTAAGATTCTGGCATGTGGGGGCAGAGATCTGCTCCCTGTGGCCTCAAATGTAAGTCCCCTGGCTTGTTACACTTGCCACCTACAAATCTGGTGTGGTCTGCCTCTTTCTTCAGTCTCTCCTTTCCCTCTGTGTGTGTGGGGGTGGGCAAGGAGGAGACAGGGAGGCTGGCAAGGTTTCAGATCTCACCCAGGGACCTCCCAAGGTTGAAAACCAGCCCAATGCCTCCTCCCATCTTTCTATATCAAAGAGGTAAATCCTTCCCATAGATCCTCAAATGTTCCCTTAGGTCCCATTGACCAGGACTAAGCTAAACTACATACCCTGACTACATAGAGTGCTGAGAAAGTAAGCATCTGCCTTTTGCAGGCTTAATGGTAGAAGGGATTGCAGCAAGCAGGAAGAAGGTGGCTGGGTTGTTGGCTGTTGAACAGACAACCCACCATGTCTGGCAAATGTTATGTTGGAAGAATGTGGACAAAATTCCTTTATCAAGGAGTCACCTGGACATTGTGCAATCTCAAAGGTACTCAGTGGAGCAGCAATGGCTCACTTGTGTGTGGTGGAGTAAACATGTTGCTTTACATTTGGATTAAGTCAATGAGGTGGGAAGTCTGAACCAGCCCTAGGCTTTTGTGCAATGCACGTGTGAGGAATAAGCACCTGATGAATTTTTGGTTTTTGCTGAGCACCTGTGTTGGGGACCACTTTGTGTGGTATCGCAAATTGTAGCCCTGCACAAACCAGGCCTTGAATAAGGGACTGTAAGTCTTGACCAGAACACTGGGAATGCTGGGAGGCAGGCATGACCCAATGCTAACACCAAGGTTTCCCTTGGGAAGTCTGGCCTGAAGAATGCATTATACCCCTTGGGGCTTGCTTTGCTTTGGATAGCCCTGTTTCCATGAATCTGTTACCTAAATCCAAAGCAGAAGGAGTGAACTCCTAATCTCATAAACTATGCCTTAATGACCCTCTGGTGTCAGCAATATCTAACAGATCCTGACCTGAGCCACATCTCTGTGTTTCCTCAACTGTTATCTATAGGTAACAGTTGAGGAAACCTATAGATAATACCTGTTTATTATACCTATAGATAATATCTGTTTTCTGTAACTATGGCCTTTAGACATTGATTGATGAGCTTTACATGCCTGTTGTATACTCCTGCACACATCGTTCTCAGTAAAAGCCTCAGGAGAAAGGACCTCGGGGCTCTTCTCCTCTGAGAGGTTAGCCAGCCTTTTCTCCCCAAGCAGATCATGTCTTGGTAGTCTCATTCCATCCCTGACTCCAGGGGACAGGGTCACCTTCACACCTGAGTATCACAAAATGAGATTTGGTTGTTTGTAATGAATGTTCATCCTGTGACTGGCGAGAAAGGGTGGGATCACTACTGGTGGAGCATTGGCCTAAAGAGGGTGGTCTGTGTACATTTTATTTGCAGAGGATAAGGGCATTTAACCATGCAGTTTCAACCTGGATTCAGTGCTGAAGCAAAGAGAGAGAATTGGGAATCTGATCAAATTATGGCCACTGGGTATTCATCTTTGCAGTGCTGTATGGAGAAATAGGGAAGTAGGAGGCTGCTTTTCATACTAATGTCAGGGAGAAATATGGTTGCTTAAGATTTTATTTTTATTTTAAATTATGATGAAACACACAAAACACAAAATTTACCTCCTTAACCATTTTAAGTGTACAGTTCAGCAAAGCACATTCTGATTGTACAACCATCACCACCATTCACTCCAGAACTTGTTCATCCTGAAAAACTGAGTCTCTGTGCCCATTAAACACAACTCCCTGTCTGCCCTCTCCTTAGTCCTTGGGAAGCACCCTTCTCCTTTGTCTCTGTAAAACCTGACTACTCCAGGTACCTCATTTAAGTGGAATCATAACAGTGTTTGTGTTTTTATTTAAATCCTGACTTAAGAGCATACATATATATGCCCTTTTCCATATATATAAAATTTATATATATTTACATATATGTAAAATGCCCTTTGCATTTACATATATATATATATGTAATTTATTTTAGAGGGAGAGAAATGGGGTGGGGGAGAGAGAGAGAAACATTGATTGGCTGCCCCTCCACCCTGCACATGCCCCAACCTGGAAAAACCCGCAACCTAATATGTGACCCCACCTGGGAGTGCACCTGCAATATTTTGGTGCACAGGATGACACTCCAACCAAGCCACCAGCCAGGGCAACAGTGTGTGTCTTTTTGTGACTGGCTTATTCCATTTAGCACAATGACCTCAAGGACCACCCATGTCATAGCATGTTTCAGAATTTTCTTCCTTTTTGAGGTTGAATAACATTTCATTATATATGTTTACATTTATATTTGTATAAATTTTAAATTTATTTATGTACATTTTATTTATCCATTGATGGACATTGTGTTGCATCTAAATTTTGGCTATTGTGAATAATTCTGCTATTAACATGGGTGTACAAATATCTCTTCAAGAGCCTGCTTTCAATATTTTTGGGGTATATACCTAGGAATGGAGTTGCTGGATCATATGGTAATTCTATTTTATGATTTGAGGAACCACTATACTGTTTTTCATAGTAGCTGCATTATTTTACATTTTTACCAACAGATTCTAATTTCTCAATATTCTTTTTTTTATTTTAATTTAACTTTTTAAATCCTCACCCAAAGACACTTTTTTAGTTGCTGAGAGAGGGAGAGAGAGAGAGAGAGAGAGAGAGAGAGAGAGAGAGAGGCAACATCTCTCTCTCTGAAGGCAACATCAACCAGTTGCCTTCTCGTAAGCACATTGTCCGAGGATCAAACCTGTAACCTGGCTATGTGCCCTGACCGGGAATTGAAACTTTGAATGTTTGGTCCATGGGACAATGCTCCAACCAACTGAGCCACACTGGCCCGGGCTTGAATATTTTTAAAATTGAATTTATTGGGGTCACATTGATTAATAAAATTGTACAGGTTTCAGGTGTATAATTCTATAATATGATGGGGGACTGCCCCCCAAAAGCAGAATTATCCTCTGGAGTTGAGGCCCCCTGTAGTTCCCCCAATAGGTGTGTGTTCTAGGAACCCATCAGTGTACCAGCTGGTGTTGCTGTGAGAGGCTGCATTCGGCTTCAGCGAATTTTTTTGAAAACTCTTTCAACACGTTTGCCCATTTCATGATGGGTGATTTATGAGTGCACCTGTCCACACCTCACTGAGTGTTCAGTAGTTTTTGACCAAAATGGCATGAACCCCATGCCCCACTCTCCATATTCACCTGATCTCACCAAGTGACTTTCTTTTGTTTCCCCAGATGAAAAAAGTCCTCAAAGGGAAATGTTTTGCTGATGTGGAAGAGGTGAAACAACAACAACAACAACAACAACAACAACAAATGGCAGAAGCACTAAAAGGCTTCAAAGGCTTCAAATTCAATGAATTCAAAAACTGTTCTGAGCAGTGGAAAAAATGACTTGACATTTGTATTACATCAAATGGAGAGTACTTTGAAGGTGACTGAAGTTTAAATATCTAAGAATAAATACACATTTTTAAAGAAATAAATTCCAGGTTTCTGGGGCCCCCCTTAACATCATCTGTATGTTGCATTGTGTGTTCACCACCCGAAGTCAAGTCTCCTTCCATCACCACTGATCCTCCCTTTATTCTCTTCTACTTTCCCCTGCCCACACTTTTCCTCTAGTAATCACCATACTGTTGTCTGTGTCTATAAGTTTTGGGGCTTTTTGTTTGTTTGTTTGTTTCTTTGTTTTGCTTAATCCTTTCACCTTTGCATTTTTACCAACAGTAGCCACGGATTCTAATTTCTCCCCATCCTTGCCAACACTTATTTTCTCAGGTTTTCTGTGTGTGTGTGTGTTTTGGGTTCTTTTTAAAAATATAATATCCATCCTATTGGATATGAGGTAGTATCTTATTGTGGTTTTGATTTGCATTTCCCTAATGATTGGTGATGTTGAGCATCTTTTCATGTGCCTTTTCATTTCCCTAATGATTGGTGATGTTGAGCATCTTTTGTTAGCCATTTGTATATCTTTGAATATATATATATACATATATTCATTTAATATATTTCCCATTCATTTAAATGAGCCCTTGGCCCATTTAAAAATTTTGATTTTGTTGTTGATTTATAGGAGTTCTTTATGTATTCTGGATATTAACCACCTATCAGATATATGATTTGCAAATATTTTCTCCCATTCCATCTTTTCACTCTGTTTATTATGTCCTTTGAGGCACAGAAGTTAATTTTGATGTAGTTCAGTTTATCTATATTTTCTTTTGTTGTCTGTGTTTTTGCCAAATCCAATTTCTCCTATTTTTCTTATAAGAGTTTCATAGTTTAGTACTTTTGGTTAGGTCTTTGATACATTTTGAGTTCATTTCTGTGTATGGTATATAGTAAGGGTCCAACTTCACTCCCTGGCCTGTGGATGTCCAGTTTTCCCATCCTTGTACCTCTTTTTAATCCCTCTTCTCCCCATCATCAGGCATTCATGGGTCTTCTTGCTGTTACCATAGGTTAGTTGACATTTTAAAAGATTTTCTACAAATGGAATCATACAGTATATGCTACCTTTTGGTTAGGCTTCTTTCATTCAGGATCATTCTTTTGAGATTCATTCATACTGTTTAGGGCACCAATACTTCTTTCCTTTTTATTGCTGAGTAGTATTTCATGCAAATCACATAGAATTTAAAATGACTAATGAGATTTAAAACACTTTATCAGACTCTGATCATGACCATAAATGCAGTTTTTAAATGTTAAATGGTTTGTTCAACTTCACATCTCAACAATAAATTTTTCAGCATCTTAAGTAGCTTAAACATGTCTCTATAGGGCCAAAATATTACAATTTTAAATATTAAGGAAAAGCTATTGGGATTTCTTAAGACCATATTGTGTTACAATTTTTCTCTCTGACTTTAAGATGTTCTTTATTCATCAGAGAAAAACAAATAACAAATGATAGGCATAATTGAAAACCACATCTTAAAACTGCATGGCGTATTGAGCCTCTGATCAAATGCAATTAAAGAAAGGACTAGGAATCCATTTGCTACTCTCCCTGAATCTCAGCATTCAAGCTCCCCTCTTTGGAATGTTCATTGACTTAGCACCTGATGAAATTCTGAAAGCAATCTGAGATACTTCTCCACCACTCACAGTTTCATGTTTTATCTGAACATCCAGAACTATCATACACAGCTGTCAACACATGCTGCCATTCCGTTGACCTGTTATCTTGAGTTAGAATTTTCTTGTTTAATCAAAATAAGGAGTAGAAAGAAAAAAAACCACTGGGTGTAGAAATTAAGCTGGGAGGAGCTGTACTTATGCCTTTTATTACTGAGGCAGGCATGGATCATCCTGATGAAAGTTTGCAAAAATATCTTTCTTCACACTGATATGAAAAAATCATTACATGTATTGTAACTTTAATGGTTCCAAGCACCCAAATTACAATAGGGGAGTGTTTTTTCTACCACCAAACAATTCTTCAACACCAGCTGGGTGTTCTACAATTCAACTCAATTGTGACGCTATCTACCCAGACACACCGTCACATTCTACAGGTTAAGGGCTCAGTCTTGCCAGACTGCCTCCGCACCCACAGTCAGTGCCAATTGCAAGCCTGGGTTATATCACCTGTGTTTGTGACATTGGCTATATAGACTGATAGTTCCAATGACCCATGCTCCTTAGATTTGGTTAATTTAGCCAGAATGACTGACAGAACTCAGAGAAACATTACTTTAGGTTATCTGTTTAGTGTAACTCAGGAACAGCCACATGGAAGAGATGCTGGGGCAAGGTATGTGGAAAAGACCTGGAGCTTCCATGCCCTCTCTGAGTGAGCCACTTGCCACAAATCTGTATGTATTCACCAAAGTGGTAACTCTCTGAACCCTATTCTACTGAGTTTTATTGAGGCTTCATTACACAGGCATGACTAATTAAATTAGTAACTATTGGTGCCCTGGCTGGTGTGGCTCAGTGGATTGAGTGTCAGCCTGTGAACCGAAGGGTCACCAGTTCCATTCCCCACCAGAGCACATGCCTGGTTGTGGACCAGGTCCCCAGTAGGGGGCGTGTGAGAAGCAACCACACATTGATGTTTCTCTGCCTCTCTTTCTCCCTCAAGTTTCCTCTCTCTAAAAATAAATAAATAAAATATATATTAAAAAAATAACCATTGGCAATTGAACTCAATCTTCAGCCCCTCCCTCCTGGAGATTGGGGGCAGGATTGAAAGATCCAACCCTCTAATCACATGGTTAGGTATTTTCTTCAGTCACCTCATTAATGTAACAAGAGATATATTTATTGCTCTCATTACAGAACAAGGGCCTGCTGCTTGACATTTATAGGAGCCAATACTATGGCACTGGCTTTTGGGGGGTGGGGGGAACGCTCTTATTGCTAAGTTGACCACCAAGGAGAAAGGAGACAAGACTCAATTCTGTCTCCCTGATCCAGAGTTTAGATGAATTTGAAGGGGCTTGGGGGAACAGGATAGTGTGTGGAAGTGCTGTCAGGGTAGGTTTTGATAAGAGCTTTGGGACTTGGCCACTTATGATAAACGGGCTTCAGCACTGGATCTTTCTGGACAATGGACTCTTCGTTGGTGGTGATGATGGTACCAGATATTAGACTGGTGAGGTCAAAATGGACCTCAGTTCAGCAACCTCAGTACTTGAGGTCTAGCTAAGAAAGAATTCAAAGGCAAGACTCAAACTATAAAAAGAAAGTTTATTCATAAAGTCACAGTGGTAGAAGAAATGGGATCAGGAAACAAGTTACAGAGGCAATGAATGGAGTCCTCAGAGTTTAGGAGAGAGAGAAAGCCAAAGGAATGCACCTGGGGGAAAAGGGGGATCAGGAAGGCACCGGCGTGCTCCTGAAAGGGAGAGCTACTGGGTCCTCTGTCCTCTGGGCTTTTAAAGGTGGAGATTTTAGGGGAGGCCTCAGAGGAGGATCTCAATAGGATGGATAGTCATCAGATTTCCAGGTGCATCCTTTCAAGGTTGTGGTCTCCAGTGACTAGTCAGCACCAGGGCAGGGGGTCATGAGTCAATGCAGCTGGTACAGATGTCAGCCACAGCATTGCTTGTCTGGTTTTGCTGCTTTTCTGGGCCTGGAGCTGAGAAACAACTGAGGCCTAGATGTAATCCTAGGGTTTAATGCTGTCAACATAAAAAAATGTTCAAGCCTGTAAGAATTATTAGGAGTTTATTTGAGCCAAACTGACAATAATTGCCAGGATTCAAAACCTCAATGCATTGAGGAAATGATCTGGAAAATGGCAGTTTGCACCCTTTTACCCAGGGGTGTGAAGCAACTCACCGATCCTTGCAGGACATCCATCGCAAATTGCTGTAGATAATGCCTTTCCCGGGTATGATGGGGATTGGTGTTATCAGCGCACAGCATGTTGATTCACTGTGAGAGGGAGCAATGGCTGTATCCAGCAACTTCCATACCTGTATGGTGTTGGGTGTCTCAACAGGGATCCCAACCTGGCATATGGGGCAACAGGCCCTACTGCTTGACCATTCAAATGGACAGTTCTTTTAATTCATCCAGCCAAGGTGGTTTTAACTGTTGATAATTTAACCTGATGCATTGATATTCCATTATTCCTTTCTGCCCACCCTGTTGCTTGCAGGTCATAGAAAACATAGACTCTCCCTTCAATGTTATATTCTTTTGCCCAGTCTTGCATATCATGACCTTTGAAGTGTGACCCTGGAGTACTGTCTATTCGAAAAGGGTATCCATATATGATACTCAGTTTCTCTCACACCATAATGGTGGCAGCCTGCTTTGCATGGTGACAGAGGAAAGCTTGAGTTAGGCCAGGGGCAGTGTCCCCACAACCCAAGGTGTATTTAGAACCCTCACTCACAGGCAGCAGGGCAATATAATCCATTTTCCGACCACTAACCTGTTGAGAACTCCAGTGGACAGTCCTGGACTCCTTTGGCAGTTGCTTTGGGCTTGTTTAGAAAACACAGGACATGCTACTACTACACTACCCAAGTCACTGTATTTCAAGGGCCATCCAGCACCCGTGGCAGTATGCCACCCTACCTGGGTGCTCTGGTGGCCACTCTTCCTACGTGCCCAATCTGTTGTGTCTACTGAAGAGTCCAGTGTTTGGGCTTATACCTGAGCTAGGGCAACAGCTTCCTGCCTTCCAAAGTGTCAGCTCCTCATGATCTGGGACAGAAAAGTCAGAGAGGACAACCTCAGACTCTCACAGGTGAACCCAAATATCTTTTCACAAACCTTGACCTTACAAGAGCTTATTCATGATCATCTACCCCTCACCTTGATCATC